TCGCACGCGGTCTGCCGTCCGGAGAGGAACCAAGTCGTAACGAAGGTGGCAGCGACGGCGAGCATACACCGTCGCCACCGCCGACGGCAGACACCGTCGTGTCCCGCTTCCGCCAAGACGTGAATGCCCTCGTGGCGAACTCGACCCCGGAGGGTCTTGTAGTCTCCCTCCGTATCGTCTTGACCCGGTTTGCCAGTGTTATCCTGGGGTTCGATCCCCCCAAACCAGAGGACGGTAGTGCCACAGCAACTTCGGCTGCTGCCAGCAACAGCACACCATTCAGAAGGCGAAGTGCCCAGGGAGCACCCATTTCGCCTGCGCCAAAACAAAGGACACCGCTGTCAGCAACAGCAGCGGCAATACCGCGTCCGCCGGCCGATGACGATAGCCGCGTCCAGCTGCTGCGACAGCAAATGCACGAGATCCTTGTGCCCCTGCACAATGTCGGTCTCGCCGGCGAGAACTTCCAGATCCTGCTCGCCGAGATTATGGACGAGAAGATGGTGGAGTTTATCCAACTCTCCTTTGCCGGGAACTGGAACGGGACGGATGCAGAGGCAGCCTCGGCGGGGGACCGGACTGCCATGCGGTCGTCAAGTCTTTCCGCCAGCTTCGGAGCCGGTTTCAATGCGAGCTTTGTTGGGACCCCATCGCGGCCCGGGCATCGCCAGTCGAAAGGCCCCAGTGCACCCTCGGCGTGCATCGGCGCGTTGAACCACTGGATCGAGAACCACTTTGCACGTCTCGCACACGAAGTTCTCGGCCGCATCGGTGCCACCGGTGCTGGTGGCGCGCGCGAAGCTGTTTCACTGTCGGATGTCAACAAATGGAAAGAAGTGGCCCTCGGCCGCCTGTCCGCTCTGCGCATGACGGAGCTATTCGACATTGTCCTGCACTGGCCGCAAAGTCGAACCGGCCTCGAGGATTTGCGCATCAGCGTCACGACGCCGCAACGCCGCTCGCAGTTAGTGTCCACCTTTACGGGGGCCATGCGAAAACGCCTGCTGCACCCGGCATGCTCGACGCTCGAGATTCTGCAGGTCTACGTCGCCATGATCCGCACGTTTCACGCCCTCGACCCATCCAACGTGCTCCTCAGTGCTGCCGTGGGCCCGTTGCAGTTTTACCTGTGCCAGCGCGAAGACGCTGTGCGCATCGTGGTGGACGGCCTGTTGGCCGACCCGGAGAGCATCTACGCAACGAACCTGACTGCCGCCAGCCGCATTGAGCGGTCTCGCCTACGATCGACGACGCCCACGTCAGGCTCGGCCACGGCGCCGCTGGTCGACAAGGCCAAGCTCGTCGAGCTAGCCGGCATACTCAACGACCCGTCACAGCAGCGGCGCCGCCACGTAGACGAAGAGGAGCTGGACTGGAACGACATGGACTGGGTGCCCGACCCCATTGACGCCGGCACCAACTACCGCCGTCCCAAGTCAGAAGACGTTATTGGCACTCTGATCAACGCTCTGGGCTCGCGCGAGGCATTCACCAAGGAGTTCCAGAATATTATTGCCGAACGCTTGTTGTCGCCGCAGGACTCGTTTGCCAAGGAAGTCAAGGTGCTCAACCTGCTCAAGAAACGATTTGGCGAAAGCTCCCTCCAGAGCTGCGAGGTCATGATTCGCGACGTCCAGGACTCGGGCCACTTTGACGCCGTCGTGGAGCACCTGATGCGCCTCGACAAAGAGGCAGCCTCTGCCACCTCTGCCGCCTCTGCCGCCTCTTCCGCCCCTGCCGCCCCTTCCCCCGAAATTCAGTACCGGGCCAAGATTCTGTCGCGGCTGTACTGGCCCGGCCTGGGTCCTGAGCACTTTTTGCTGCCGCGCCCCGTGGCTGACACGCAGAAACGCGTTGATTCCTTCTACGAGGCCAACAAGTCCGGCCGCAAGCTGGCCTGGCTCAACCAGCTCGGCCAAGCCACCGTCGACCTCGAGTTGGACGACCGCACCGTGCAGGTGGACTGCAAGACATATGAAGCGACTGTTATTTATGCCTTCCAGGACGAGTCGGCCGAGGCGGAACGGCTCGTGCGCACGCCGCCTGCCCAGCGGACTGTGCCGCAGCTCTACGAAATGCTCCAGATGGACGAGGATCTGATTGTGTCTGCGCTCCAGTTCTGGGCGAGCAAAGGCGTGCTCATGCAAGACCGCCGTGATCCCGAACGCTATACGGTCATTGAAGATGTCGAGCGCGCTAGGGTCGAGCGCGAGCGGGAGATGGCGAGAGACGAGGCGGAACGCAAGAAGGCAGCCGAGGCGGCCGAGGCGGCCGACGAAACACCTGCGCCCGCCACGGCCACCACCGCAACCGCGGCGGCTCCGGCAGCGGCGGTGGCGGCTCCGACCCGCAGCAAGCGCGAGGCTCGCGCCGACGATGCACAGCGGACCGTGTATTGGCAGTTCATCGTGGGCATGCTGACAAACAGCGCCGTCTCGATGCCCTTGGCGCAGATTGCCATGATGATGAAGATGCTCATTGCCGAAGGCTTCCCTTGGAGCAACGAGGAGCTGCAGGAGTTTTTGGGCGAGAAAGTCACAGACGGCGAGCTCGAGGTGGTTGGCGGCAAGTACCGTCTAGTTAAGAAGTAGACGCAGGGTGCTGTTGACGACACATTCCGCATTATGGGCTACGACGATGCAGCGAATACGACAGAGAAATACTATATTAATGATGTTTATGTCGGGGATTTCCCTTTACGCAATGATGTTTGTGTCTCTTAAAATCCCATAATTCCCAACTCCAGTAAAGACGATGCCATGTAAAAATGTCGTAAACACACAAACAAGTGGACCATAGTCGTAAAACAGTTCGCACACATAAACAAGTAAACACCTTCAGGATATGTTACCGCACCCAACCTTCAAAGTCATCTGCAAACCACACAGCCGCGTTCAGGTACCGGTCCTGAATGTCGCCCCATGTGCGGGCAGCGTCCTTGAAGGCACGTAGAGCTAATTTGTCAGTGAGACACGAGGAAGAAATGGAACATAAAAAATTTAAATAAAATAAAAAAAATAGGGAGGGCAGACATACTCTTAATATAGTGCTCATCCGTGCTCCACCGCGACGACACGGCTTGCTGCTCCACGTACGTCCAGCCCTTTGTCTTGCGATAGTCCTTCGGCACGTTGTCTGGGTCCACCGGAGGCCGGCCCACCGCCACGTACGTCGCCAGCGCCAGCAGCCACCACTGCTGCAGCACACCCACGTGCAGCGCCGGCGGAATCTCGGGCAGCAGGACCCGCACGGCGTGGCTCGTCGTCAGCGCGTGGCACACAAAGAAGTTGTAGCTGTGCGTGCCGGGGACGACGGACGCGACGAGCATGTCCGCGGACACGTCCTGGGCCTCGCGCACGCGCAGCGTCAAGTCGTTCTGCACGGGCTCGTCGCGGCCCGTCAAATCCCACGCGTGCCAGTACTCGAGCAGGGCGGTCGCGACCTCGTGCGACGGCGGCGCGAGAATCAGCGACTCGATGCGGCTGCCCGGGGCCACGGCATCGAACCGCGCGTCCTTGGCGATGCGGTCGACCAGCTGCTGGAGGGACAGCCCCCGGAGCGCATCCGGCACGTCGTCGTCGGCCGGCAGCTGCCCGAACGGGTATTTTTTGGCGTAGTCGGCGTTGTAGGTCACGGCCGTCATGCCCAGCGCCTCCATGGCGAGCACGCGGCTGTCCATTTCGTAGGCGTACGCCAGGTGGATGAGCGGGTGGCCGAGGCCGCAGATGAGGCTGTTGAGGAGCAGGTGTCGGTCGGCCTTGTCCGGCAGCGTGTTTGTCCGCGCCGCCCCCGCCTCACCCGTCGACCCGTCCGCAGGGGCCGTCGGCGTCACCCGGCTGCTGAACATGGGCGGCACCAGGTCGCCGTCCACCTCGACCGTGTCGTCGTCGCCCCACGGCCGGCCCTGGCCCAGCAGGTACGCCTCCACCACCGTCCGCCAGTTGTACGCCACGCTGTGCTCGGCCAGCACGTCCTCGAAAAAGTCCACGTACGCGCGCTGGTACGCCGTGTCGCCCAGGTAGTCGCGCCAGTCCACGTCGGCAATCTCGGCGGGGGAGGCCTGCCAGGGCACGAGCTTGGGCGCAATGGCGTCGTACATGAGGTTCATCTGCTCGGGCGTGGCGCCCAGCAGGTAGGCCGAGCAGAGCGCGTGGGCCATGTGGTTGTGGCGGCCGTTGTCGTCGCCGTACATGAGGGCATGGTTGACGTGGTTGCCGCGCAGCAGGTGCTTGAGCGTGCGCGGGCGCTTCTCGGGGCGGGTCTCGACGGCGTGGGCCGGGGCAGACTTGAGACGGCGAGCGGCAGGGATCGACGAGGCGCCGGTGATGGCGTCGACGAAGCGCCCGACGAGCGGGATCGAGGAGAGGAGCGACATTGTGATCGAGACGGTGGTTTTTTGGTCGGAGAACGGACAAGCGGATTGTCGTGCTTTCCGTGTTCGATTGTAGTTCTGTGTATCAACGAAGAATGTAAGATCAAATACGGAGCACGGAGTAAGAGACTGATCGTTATGCCCGTCGCAACGGAGCTCGGGAGGTGTCCGAAATTCCGACTTCTGACGTTGGCTGTTCTGTTGGGGACGGCTGTCGTAAAGTGACGTGAGGCCCTAAAAGTAGTTGACAGTCGATGCCCCGCTTTTCAGCTAGGAGCCGCTCCTGCCCACTGAATCGTGTTAGTGCAGCTATTTGTTTTGTTGCTTAATTACGTAGCTTGCCAGAGGGCTCCACCGCGACGCGAGGAAGGCGCAAAGCAGCCGACAAACCCCGCTAGAGAGGCGCTGACAGTGCTTTTATGGGAGTTGCCCCGTTAGGACTCAGAGCTTCGAAACGTCATAAGCAAATCTTCAAATCACAGCACGAAAAACCTCGGCTTTCCCCTCAGCTTCAGTTACCACGTCCCAACATCTACACGAAGCGATCTCCATCCAATTGACGTCCAATTGACATTTGCAACCTTGTACCGAAAATCTTTGACTCGCCCTCCCCTGCCAACCGCCCACAATGTCCCCGCCGGCCATCATCGCCCCCTCCATTCTGTCGGCCGACTTCGCCGCCCTCGGCCAGGAATGTGCCAAGACCATGGACCAGGGCGCCGACTGGCTGCACGTCGACATCATGGACGGCCACTTTGTCCCCAACATCACCTTTGGCCCGCCCGTCGTCGCCAAGATCCGCTCCCACGTCGCCAACCCGGCCGACACCAAGACGCCCCTCGGCCGCGGCACCTTTGACTGCCACATGATGATCGCCGAGCCCAAGCGCTGGGTGCGCGAGTTCAAGGACGCCGGCGCCAACCTGTACTGCTTCCACTACGAGGCCGCCTTCTCGACCGCCGCCGAGACCCCGGCCGCCGAGTCCGATCTCAAGACGTCGCCCCGCGAGCTCGTCCGCTACATCCACTCGCTGGGCCTGCAGGCCGGCGTCGCCATCAAGCCCGCGACGGCCGTCGACGTGCTGTATGAGCTGGTCGAGGCGGCCAACGAGGCCGAGCGGCCGGACATGGTGCTGGTGATGACGGTGGAGCCCGGGTTCGGCGGCCAAAAATTCATGGCGGACCAGATGCCCAAGGTGCAGGCGCTGCGGCAGCGGTACCCGGAGCTGAACATTGAGGTGGACGGCGGTCTGGGGCCCGGCACGATCGATGTGGCGGCGGAGGCGGGTGCGAACGTGATTGTGGCCGGGTCGGCCGTGTTTGGTGCCAAGGACCCGTCCGAGGTCATCGCGAAGCTGCGGGAGGCCGTCAATACGCGGAGAAAGTAAGGTGGAAGAGGGGACGACAACGGTGCAAGGGAAACAAAAAAACAGAAAGGGTATTTATGGTTTGGGGTGTATGGAGTCATGATGGGCTTTGATGCCATCGGAACATGGCAATATGGGATAGGTCATGACCGCCGGTATGTCGAGGGGGCTACAGACGACCGTAGTATCAGCCGTGACGGCACTCTCTTGAGGAACATGTGGAAATAAAGACGATAGATTTACCGATTACAAGAATTTAAAACCGATTACCTGATCACATGAATAGCCGAACTTGAACAACGGAAAACCCAACAGTGTTCTTTGAGAATGTACCTTGCCGCTCTAATTGCAGTGGGCATGGGTGGAAAGCAGTGAATTGTACTCCGTTGTGCCTCCAATTATCTAATTAAAACAGGATTTGTTCAGCTCCTCGTCAAATGTCATATCGAATCATGATTAAAGCTCGTTAGCTTGATAGTATAGTGATGAATGGCACTGGATGGCCCCCAAATAACCTAATCCTAAAAGAATCCAAGATGCTGTCGCTAACTATGCAATATGCGAGGGCAAAGCAAGGCCCGAGACATGAAGCCGGAAAATAAAACAAAAACAAAAAAAAACCAATGAAAACCAATCTCTACTCTAATCGCCAATCTTCTTTAGCTTGTCAACACTGACCGACGACACAAAGGCATGGCGCAAAAAGTGCAGCCAGACCTCGTTCTGCTCCTCCTTCGTTTTCTTGTCCTTCTTCTTCTTCTTCTGGCCGCCGGCATCTTCAAAGTCGGCATCGTCTTCGTCGTCGCTATCATCATTATCGGCATCGTCGCCGTCTTTGACGACCTCGTCGCCGCCAACATCAGCGACCGACTTTTTGCTCGTCTTCTTGCCCATGCGGTAGGCCATCTCCAGCAGGCTGTTGACGGTCATGTCGGACAGGTTGTAGATCTTGTCGGTAAAGGTGCTGTACTCGACTTGGTACGTAAACTTGTGCGGCTGCGCAGGGCTCGTTTTGGGCGACTTGTCGCTGTGGTCGCCCTCGCGCCACTTGTCGCTCTCGACGTTGCCGCCGTCGTCGCCGTCGTCGTTGCCACCATCAGCACCGCCAACGCCGACTGTCATGTCATTGTTGATGTATGTCAGGTTGGCAAAGTACTGTACGTAGCCGCGCAGGGTGAGGGGCTGCGGCGAGTAGGCGGGGCCAGGCTCGGCCGTCTTGGCTGGGCCTTTGGGGACGACGAGATTTGGGTCTTTCTTGCCCTTGCTCTTGTCCTTGTCCGTGTCTTTTTCGCCTTTCTCGCCCTTATCCCCCTTCTTGCCCTTCTTCTTCTCCTCACGGAGTGGGGGCAGCTCGTCCTCAGGGAGGACGGGCACGAGGCTCGGCCCGTCGGTCCAGACCTCGGTGTCCTCCATGCCGCTGATGTTGTACTCGACGACACGGAGCGCAGGTAGGTAGTTGGGCACGATGCTGGGGCTGACAAACGTGAGCTGGTAGCGCTCAGCCCACTTACGCGACAGCTTGGGACCCTCCTTCTTCTTGTTCTTCTTGTCCTTCTTGCCCTTCTTCTTTTTCTTTTCCGGATCCACCTCGCCGTCGTCGACTTCAGCGCCGTCGACGGCACTGTCGTCGAGTGACCGTGGCTTGGGAAGCTTGGACCACACGCTGCGCAGCTCCTGCAGGTAGTCGGCCGTTGACAGAATGTCCATGTCGTCCTCCATATTGGTCCGGACAGCTGCCTCAGGCTCATCGTAGTCGTACGCATCGTCATCGTCCTCGTCCTCGTCCTCGTCCAACAAAAGGCCCTCGATCTCGGCGCGCGAGGCACCAATCAGTTTGTAGTTGAGCTCCTCCGTGTCCTGCAGCATAAAATGGTCCACGTTCATGTGGCCGTACAGGCCGCCGACAATGACGTCGCGGTACTGGCGCAGCCACAGTGTGTACTTTTGCCAGCAGGTCTCGTCCCAGAGCTGCTTGCTGCCGGTGCGGGCCGGCGGGACGTGGCCCGTCAGGATGGCCTTGACGCCGCGCTCACGCAGAAACTGCAGCTGGATGCGCAGCCACTCGAGCTGCTTAAAACCCGGCTCGGACGGGTGGATGCAGTCGTCGATGCCGGCATTGCGGTCGAAAAAGTAGAGTGTGTTGAGACTAAAGACGGCGAGGCGGTTCGGGATCACCTCGACATAGAACCAGCCGCCAAACTCAAACGAGTGGCGCTGCTCCAGCGGGATAAATCGCGACCAGATGTCGGTGTAGCGCTTGAGCCACTTGTTGGGGCCCGGCAGCAGCACGTTGTGCGGCAAGATGTCGTTGTTGCCAAACGTCGGGATAATGGGAATGCGCAGGCCCTGACCCGAAGGGTCCTCAAAGAGGTCGACAAATTTGTCGGCAATCAGCTGGTTGGAGTTTTGGACCTGGGCAGGCGAGCGCGGGATCCGCTCGTCGCTGTCGTGGCGGGCTGAGTCGCCGGTCCAGACGACGAAATCAATGTCATCGCGAATGTTCTCGGCGATCCAGTCAAACGTGGCGTTGATAAGAGAGTAGGGGGTGTCACAGTCGGAGGTCTCAGCGCCGTACGTGCCGGCCGGCCCTTTCCCTGAGTGGCAGGCGTGTTCTTCTGATGTCGAAGAATGGACTTTGTAGAATTCATCTGGGTGCAAGTCTATCGCGACATGGGTTAGCTCCTCGTCAATGCAAATCGATGGAGATATGATATTGTGTGGTGTGCTGCGTCCTCGTTTCCGTTTGGCTGCAAATATGGGAGATAGTAGCACCAAGAATTTTCAAGCTCATCCAACCCGTCCCGCGCATATTCTGTGACGTAGTAGAAACCCGGCGGGGTGGACCTTGTTGAATGTGGTGTGTGTGTGTAGCCCAAGAATACCACGGAAAAAAAGACGGGGAACAATGGCAGCTAGCAATAGCAGTACCACTTGGAGAAAAGCTCACCTGTGATATGCAGGAACTTGCCATGCAGGCGACGCGGGCTAGACTCTGCCTCCCCCGGCGCCTCGCCCAACACGCGTTGCGACCCGCCTGGTCGTGCAAACACCTGCGGTAGGCGGCCAAGCGGGCTGGCGACGGCGGCGGTGCCGCATAAAACAAGCGGGAGAAGGCGGGAGAGCGATGTCGAGCGCAAAGACGTCGGGGCGGCGCGCTGCCGTCGTGATGTGGTCGAATGCCGCATGGTTTGTGAAGTGCTGTGTGCGCGGGTTTTGGGTGTAAATTGTGTGTGGTCACGGCGCGGCCCAGCCGCTGTTCCACGTTGAGGTCTGCAGAAGCACCGAAAGGTCGAAAAGGCAGCTGAGAGCAGGTTAGATGGCCATGCAGCGCATGGTAGTCGGTGAGGTTATTCGGATGAATTCGAGCGACGTCAAAAAAAGGAGAGAGAGAGAGAGAGTTGCGTTCGACAAAGTAAAATGGCAGGAATGGACCATGAAAAAGCCCCTTCTGGAAAGAGCTGTCGGTGAGGGAGGAACGACCGGTCTGGACAGGTTGGTATATTGGTGCGTTGGCCCTGAAACGGACCCTATTTCCTTTTTTGAGGCAATGACGTTCCGCGTCTCGTCACAGACTCTTCGTCCTTTGCGTGTCTTTTCTTTGGTTTGTCGTGTCTGATTCGCGACCAGCATCAGCGGCGACCGAGTAAAATATGTATAAAATGCTGCGCAGACCCTTTTGGTCCACTGCTGTCAAAATGCTCAAATGCAGATGCGATAGCTGGTTGGGGGTCTCGGGACTGGACAGGGGTGCCTGCCTGCAGCTCACGCTCCCTAGAATAGGCAGCTGCAGGGCACGTGCAGGGCTGAGTCGAACACGCCAGCGGCAGACCAGCGGCGATTGAGACACTGTCTGGTGCGGTTCGGAACCTGCACGGGGGATGACGTACGGCTGAGACGGCCGCCAAAAGCCAGTCGCAAAGACTCCTAACAGTCGCACGGCAGTGGCGCGACAAGACAGAGGGACCTTCGTAATTGTAGTACGCGACAGAAGACGAAAAAACCACACGTGTGAGTGGGAATGAGAAAATAACGACACGAGATCGAAAATGGCGATCCTTCAAAGAGATAGGGGTCCCTTTTGATTTAACGGATCAACCATCTCGAAAATCCACGACAAATGGCGAAACGAGGCGCCGACGACCAATCCATAAAGAAGAACCACTTTGGCACGAAAAAACACGAAAGTGTACGAATGTACGCATGTTCGCAAACAGACAGCCGTGTCCCCCCACAATCTGCACGCGATGCACGATTCAGACTGCTATCCACTCTTCCGGACACCGACCACTCGCGCCCAGTCGTTTTGCCCACCTGCTCAGGCATGGCGCCTGTTTTGACAGAAAAGGGAGGGTTGTTTCGATGTAAGTCGGTACTTCATAGTGCAGCCGTGAGGCGATTGTATGCGAAAGCGCATGGTGGGCGGTGGAAAAGAGCCAGTCTTTGTGCAGCATGCTCCCACGTGTAGGCTGAGTGGCCCCTTTGGGTGGCCTGTTTTGGCCCTCGACAGCTAGGCTTGTTCTCAGCCGCGCGAGATCGCCACCCCCAACTTTGCTTCTTGATCCATTTAGAGGCCCGCCCTTTATTTAGCTTATTTTTAGACGTATTTTTGCGTGTCGGCGAAAGAGACTGGCGCATCTCGAGCAAGACACGCGAGCACATGAGCCAACCTCGCTGGTCAGCACATCCTGATTCAGAGAGAGGCTGACGCAGGGCGTGGGATGGTTGATTTAGATTTACGAGCGCCATGTTACGAGTGTACGAAAGAGAAAGGGGGGCACACCCTCAGCATCGTAGGCATCGATCTCACATGCTGCCGGCCTCTGACTCTGCAATTTCCGCCCTTCGTGGTCGCGTGCGGTTTTTCTCTTCTTGTTCGACAGAGAGGGTCAAAGACGACCAGACCGGATCTTCCTCCAGGACCTCAGAGGAGAACTCCCTTAAACAAGCACAAGCCTCGTCATCAAAAGGGGGGGTGTCAAGGTGGATCATGGACCCTCTTCCCCTGCTACCAGTCACTGTGAGAGGACCCTCTGTCTCCGCCACTTGTGTGTGGTCTCGTGTGCAATGTCCTCTTTCTGATTTGGCTTCATTTGCTGCCCCTCCTCTTCATTGCCGGCTTCCTCATGCACGCTATTGCGGTCGTCGTGTGTCGTGCATCGTATGTTGCACGTTGTTTCCGAACCTTGATGGTCGCGAGATGCACGCCCGAACCAAGGAGGAGGAGAGTGCAAGAAGACAGGAACGACACAAACGACGGTGGGGTGGAAGAGGAGAGAACCGGCGGGGTTATTTCGTGTCGTGTGCCTCTGTCGAAATGTCGGGCTCTGCATGTCTCACGTCCGCTCCGCTGCGGCATTCCCAATGCAAATTGTTTGCAACAAGCTGAGGTTGAGAGGTTACCGTCTTCATTGAGAGGTTCTCCATAGAGCAGGACCATGAACCTCCGCTGCCGGGATGCTTCGTTTAGAAGATGCAAATCTTACCTTCACATATGCGTCAGAAGGGTTCGTAACCTTTCGCAAAGTGCAAGGAAGACAGGCCAGGGTGATGTGTTACCGACGAGGATTTGTTTGGTTGGCAGATCTACCGGATAGGCCCGCGAAATGTGGCTGGTGCGAGATGCGCCACAGGCTTGGAATTTTGTGGGGCACCATTGTCGTTCGTCCAACTTTATCTGCAGTCGAAAATTTCCGGCGCTCTTTCCCCTCCCTTCTCTTTTCCCTTCTTCTTTCTCTATGCAACGTCGCGCTCTCTGAACCACCCCTCGCCGCTTTTGGAGAGAAGGGAGTTTGGGCTTGGATCTGTATTTCTCTCGAAACGATCCTTTTTTTGAGAGCGGTTGCTAGATTGACTTTACAAGGCCCGCTCGTTTGAGGGAATCCAGAGCGGTTTTTTCTGCTGCAAGGATTGGTTCCCATGGTTTTCGCTGGCACATTCCAAACCTACCTATCTCCGCCGTATTGATCCAACATACTCGTCATGTTTTGCATTCTTTTCTTCCACGTTGTGATCGGAGGCTGGACTGGGCAGGCATCTGACGTCTCTGTGTTTTTCTGTGTTTGGCCGCTTTGATGCGACGACTTGAAACGACAGCCGAATAGCCTGTTGGGGAAGGAGCGTCGAGGGCTCGACAGCGCGTGAACCATCTTGCCCTTCTCACGTCTAGTTTGCTTCATAAGTGATCATCTTACAAACATGCCCAGCGCAGCCACCGACAGCAGCAGCAGAATAGCGCGGGCTTCTGGCCTCTGCGTTGCAATTTTTCTATGCAATGGTTCCATGTTACAAAGGCCTTTCTCACAAACGCAAGGGAATAGCGTCTGCACCCCTCTCATTGGCCAACAAGCCGCTGGGCCTTCTGCACGCCGACACACTCTCCCATATGCAACAGCAGTGGTCACACCGTTGCTTTTACTGGTCCCTTCGGAGGCTTTGTGTGATGGGAAGGTTGGTCCCGCTTCTCGATTGTTCTCCTTCTCCCCTCCCCTTTCGACTTCTGCAAGACTAGGGGCTAGCTTGCATACTAGCTAAAGTGCGTAGATCAATGCATGTCTTGGTGGTCTTTTGAGTGCGTAACAAAACAGGGTTCTCGTCGAGGGCGACCGCCGCGAAACAAGAAAAGCGGTGTAAAGAGAGACGGTACGAACTGAATGTCGAGAAATGACGAGCAAACATACAGGGCAGACGACTCCTCTCTCCCCCAATACGGTTTGCGCCGTGTTCATCCAGCAATCGTGTCAGGTGGTTGGGAGAGTGCAGCTGCTACCAGTCCATCTGCGGAAACACGGCTGGTGATCAGCCGGGAGCACCACGGGGAAATAGATGAGGGGAAGCTGGAGAGTGAGAGAGAGAGAGAGAGGCAATAATAGTTGGCTCCTGCTATGATATGCGTGCCGTTTCGCTTGTTGTTCGCCTATCACTTTTCACAGGCAATAGGCGGTCGCAGCAGGTGCCGTGATAATAGAAGTGCTATCATATTTGGGCCAACTCTAATCGTCATAGCTCAGAGACAATCCCGATCTCTGCGAACCCATAAACGCCGATATTGGGCCCGACAAGTTGACCCCAGAGGCTCAATACAGAAAACACACGCGGGCCATATTGGCGGATATTAGCGGACGTAGGGAAAGGTAGAACAAGTAAATAAAACATCGCGATGATAGGCTTCCTCCTGTTGATGTGCATTACTGTTTTTATAAGCAGGGTTACGACTTCCCTTCCGACCTCCATCAACAGCATATATATGATTGACACCACGGAGGATAAAAGAAGGCACCAGGCACAGATTGCATGGTAAAAAACAGCCACTTTTATATTGCATTTAGTTTCAAGGTAAATGCATAAAGCAGAAATAGATTCCTTTGTGACTATGGCAAGAGAGAAGGAGCGTCAAGAAGGTACACATTTGTAATGAACGTTGAATAGCTCGATACATGAAGCCATTTAAGAAAATAGTAAACGAGTGAATAAGAACAGACAAAACGTGAAAGCTCCAGGGCGTCAATGTTTTTTGCCCCCATCCCACGTCGATCATAGTCATGATATCAAAAGGTTTGACAAGTAAAAAAAGTGCAAATAAACCACCGTCCCTGATTGAGGGAGGCTTCGATATACCCGTAAAAAATAATTCCCAGAAGCGCCCCGAAAATCTAACGTTGACCTGTATTCCATAGCCCACCATGTTCCCCGAAGAAGAAAAGAGTAAAAGTGAAAAGACGACGAACCCAGTCGTTGAAAAGGAGTATGTGACAAGAAGGGAAGAAGAAAGTATGTGCAGTGAAAAGAATCGTTACAAAAGTTTCGTAGTCGTTATTGTAAAAACATCAGGTTAGATCCAGACGGCTGCCATAGGCCGCGATTCCGAAAAGAACGTGGTCATGAGGCCCTGGATGTCGCTAATGTACGACTCGGCACTGTACTTCTTCAGTCCTTGGCGGATGAGTTCGCGCTCTTCTTCGGCGAAAATGGGGTTCGAGCTAATAGGAGTGGGCTCCTCAATCAGTGCGCCGTCCTTGCCAAACTCTTCAACGAGCTCAGACACCTTGGCCAGTTCGTGGCCAAAAGGGTGCGTCTCGGAGTAGTCCTTCTTGTGCGAGACAGGTGGCGGCGCGACGCTGCTGACGGGGCCAGTGACGCCGCTGACAGAGGCGGCGGGCGCGTGGTGGTGGACAGACAGCGACGGCTTGACGGTCGCGGTGTGCGAAGTCGACGTGACGCTGGTGCTGGTTGAGCTCGACGACGAGCGCGAGAAGCTGAAGCTGGCCTTGGTGGACAGCGAACGGGACGACTGCTCCGACATGCGCGAGACAGAGCGGTGGCGCGTGAGGCCGTCGTACGATTTCTTGGTGTGCGAGGGGGCACGCTGGGGAATGGCGGGTGCCTCCGAAGCAGGGAACGCGGCAGTGCCGGCCTGTGCGGGTGAGGCATTGGGGCTGCTGCTGCTGTCGGCCGAGGCGATGCCGAGGCCGCTGGCCTCGGGCGTCGTCTGTCTTGGCGGCATGAAGTAACAAGACAAGTGGTTGGGCTCGGGCGACATGGCGCGCTTGTCGATGGGGGACGGGGTGTCCGGGCTAGTCGGGGGCGTGGACGCAGCGGTGTAGCCCGAATCAGACTCGTCGTCGGATTTGCTGGAGGTGGACGGCGAGGAGTGGACGTTGGCGGTAGCGGTGTTGGATCCAGGGAAGATGTCCGGCGCGCTGTAGGAAAGCATGTTGGTGGTGTGCACAAGCTCGACGGGCCCCGAGATCTTGTTGCGGATGGAGCCATGTGTCATGAATGCCTTGGTCGACTGTTTGCGGTGCAGCAAGCCATCGGACGGGGGGTGGGCTGAGTTGTTGTCGGCGGCTTCCCTGTTGTTCTTGATTTCCAGGGTTTGCCGCACCCGGCGGGTGGTGAAAGCTCTTGCGAGAGACATGTCGAATGTGTGAAGAAGAACAAAAAAAGACAAAAAAGTAAAGTGAAGCGATTCTCAGAAAAGGATGGTCGACTCAGAGTTGACTCCGCTGATGGGGAGTCGGCGAGCGGTGAAAAGGTGAAAGATAGGGATGTTGAAAATGAATGTGAAAGGTGAGATGCAAAGGAGAGCGGCTCTCAGACTTCTCAGAAACGTGAGAGCGAAAAGGCGCAGATCAAACCAGAAACAATGGCGCAGAAGGGGAGGGCCACGAGTATAAAAGGTGTCACACGTCAAAGGTCACAACCAGTTGTGAACATGCAGTGTTGACACGGCTTCTTGTGCGACGGGCGCAGTGGCAAAAGCGGTCTAGACGAGGGACAGGACGGAAAAAAAAACAAGGAGGTCGACAGAGTGAGGTGTGTCGCCTGGCGATTCCTTGCAAAGATGCAAAGATGCAGTCGTCGTTGTCTCTTTGTCCGATGTCTCTTTTCGGAAACCCAAGTAAAGGGTAAAAGGCGGAGCGCGGAGGTGATATAAAGAAACAAAACAACGGGCCAAAGAGCGCCCCAAGAACCAAAGGCAAGGGCGGCACAAACAAAAGCGACGCTTGCTGATCGTCGGCTGTGATTGGCTGCGGTGTTTGGTGAAGAAAGCGTCAACCCCTCCACTACCGTTTAGGGAAGGTACGGGCGGCTCGAGTGGGCAGATACCCCGTTCAGGCGCGGAAGGTTTTCGTAGAGCAAGGGCGACCAGCGGACAGTCCCTCGTGATAAAAATAACAATGCGGTGGTGAAAGGGTGGTTTCTGCGGGCCTTGTGCTGCCGTGCTGGTGATGCCGCGTGCGTCGTGCGTGTGCGTCAGTGTCGTCCAAGGGCGAGCTCGAAAGACAGTTGGTGTGTGTGCTGGTGGTCTGAGACTCGTCTCCTCGTTTTTACCCTCGTTTACTCTCTCCCTGCGCTTGCGGACGAGAGGTTGCCGAAAAGGGCGATGCGATGCGACTCTGGCGGTGCGAGTCAAAGTGACGTGAAATGGAAAGAGCGGTGTTTCTGGATCCAGTCCAGAGTATTCGTCGAGAATGGGCGCTCCTGCGATTTTAGGAATGCGGTTGGACGTTGCTGCGGGAAGGAGCGATTGAGCAGAGCAGAATGCGGCTTCTTGCTATGGGAGTCGCAGATGTTGTCTCACGGTATGTCGTATTTTGGATTTTAGATGCTTGGATCGGTGTGTATATTTTTTTGTTTGTCAGAAAAATAGTCCTGCTGGAAGAAGAGTCGCGCCTGCGACAAAAACGAAAAGAGTGTGAACTGTGCACGTTGCGTGCGACGGTGGGCGGAGCTCAAAGGAGAGACGGCGAGCAGCACTCGGTAAAAAGGCGAAATGAAGGGAAATGACGAACGAGAAGAAACGATGAGAAAGGAAGGAATGGTGACAAAGTAACCGTGGTAGGGAAAGGGTAGAAAGAGACGAAGGAAAGAAACAAACCCGTCGCGGGAAACATTCCCATATGAAGGAAGAACGGAGCCAACGCCGTGGGTGCGCGGCGCACATGGCGATGCGCTCTATCTCGACTCTTTCCTTTTCGGCTCACGGTGGTGCCTTGAAGCCTTTTGCCCCTGGATCACGCCAAGTATATGCTACCGCAGCCGTCGCCTCGCTCAGTGTGGGTTCACAGGTACCTCAGTACCTCGCTAGATACCCGGCGCTCAGGGGAAAAACTCGCTAGGCAAGGGCTAGGCTTGCTAGCGGAAAGAGAATTTTTTAGTCCCTGATCTGGTCCTCTCCAGGCGTCGACGGACGTCTCTTCTTTCGATCGGCTGGCGTTCTCGAACTGTCCTTTTCCCTTTTCGCCCATTTTGCCACGTTCGCGACTTCTCCGATGGCTCAGTAGGCACAACTCTGGGCCTCGGCGTTGGTGTGTGCCTGTGTCGTGCCTGTTCAATTTACTTGTTTTGGATGTTCAGACACGTCCGATTGCTCGTCATGTCACCTGATGTCCGCCGTTCTTTCCCCCACCACCATGGCAGTCCTTTTATGGGTGCGCTGGTGCGGTTCCTGACTTTGCCCACTATGCTGCAACCCGTCTCCGCTGAGGAAGGAACCTGGCTCCATCGTCACTGCGAGAATCCCCGTCCGCTTCTGCTGCGCCTGAGCGACCAGAGTTTCAATCTCTCCCTTTTATCCCTGTCGAGGGTGTGGGTCGCCAAACTGCGGTTGGTCCTTTTCCAACTCTGGCCAGGGGCTGTCTTTCTTGCTGATTTTTTCCCCTTGTCGGCTTTGGGCTTCTCGCTTCTCTCTTCCCGTTGGCCAATGGGCAAAACGGGCCTACAAGAAAGGTGAGCAAAACAGCCAAAAGATGCAAAAGACCCAAAGACCCAAAAAACCCAAAAGGACCACCCAACCAGACAGGCACACGCCTTCGCAAACCCACCCGCCCATTATCTATTCTTTTTAGGCTCGGAGACCCCTTTGCTGTTGCGGACAGCGTGGGTGGAGTGGAGAATATCAACCGCCAGCTCACTCGAAAGGAAGTCTTTTTATCCTTCCCCCTTGCAAGTCCTCTACTCCGTACATGTCCATGCTCTCCCTCGGACACCAGGTTGTTGATGTGGCCAAGCAAGTCAAGCAAGGCCTTGGTGCGCCATTGTTGCAGACGGGGTTCGCTGCAAGCTGACGTGGTGCCACAGGGCTAGCGGCCAGTACGACCTCTGTACACAAAATCGAATGACCTAGGGATATCGTGAAATGGAAGAAGAAGAAAGCGAGACGTCAGACTCTATCCGTGGCCGACCGGATAAGAGTCCAGACGAAAAACAGGGCGGTCTCACGAGCTGAGACGATGTTACCCGATACATGTGATGTATGTGTGCCACTCGAAATCGCAGGCCCGGCATGCGTTCCACAAGCGAGATGCTTCATCCAACAATTTGCCTATGTCGTCCTCTTCGCAATGGATGTACGACTACCTTTGGGACTACGCGAGACTATGGAGTACATGTAACTCTCAGTCATCACGAAGCCCGGAAAGCGGAGGAACAGTGCCTAAGAGCCTGGGGGAAAGAAAGCCAGCGAACATCTGCCAAGCCTGTCTGCTTTACTCTCGGATGACCTGAAGGAAAAGTTCAAGAGGTACTCCTGTGGAGGCTCAAAGAGGAAAAGTGCGATCCTTGAACGCTAGTGGTCTTCAGGCCGAGCTGTTCCTTGCAGATGAAACATGCCCCCTGGGTCCGCGCCGCATCGCCGTCGCCCATTGGTTGGTTGGCCCCAGGGTCGGCGGCTCATTGGTGCACTGATCGAAACAAAGTTTCAAGATGACAGAAAGGTGAGTACGAGACAGCGGCGTGCTGTCGAACCATTAGGGATGCCATCTGGCAACCATCCAAGGCCAGATGAGGCGTGGGAACCTCAACGCCCTTTGAGCCACCTGCACGGTTCGAGCGCAGGGAGCAAGAGCGAGCGCCTTGCCGATAAGTGCAACGTCTGTTTCAGAAGGGAGAAACACCCGCAGCAAAGGAAGCGATCATCGTCGCTTGTCGGAGCATAAACCGTGCAAGCTATTGATTTCTTCGGTGAAGATATGCAGCCATTTGGTGGCCAACTAAGTCAACTGTATCCAAGTTGAGCTGGCAAGGGAGACAGCAGATTAAACGCATAGACAGCTTTCGACGTTGTCGAGCTGGTATGCAAATCGACCTCCGATTCAACCTTCGCAGCACTGGAATGAGGTGACGAAACAGCAACCGACGCACATGGAGTCTCAACGGCTGCTCCAGATGCCATGCATGCCTCAATATTTGTCTTCCAGTCACATTGTTTCTGCTGTTTCTGCAACTGAAGAGAACACCAGTCCGAGGATTTTCGTCAAGGCATAATTGCAGTTCCAGAAGACGTCGCGGAACATATCCATCCCAGGAAATCTAGTTCCGGTCCTGGGTTTCCTCCCGTCTACGGAAGAACATGGCAGAACACAAACAAGAGGAGTCAGCCTCGTACGCCAGCTCGCTTGACCGTCGCAAGTGCTCTACGACGTACGCTACAACACACAGTCAAAGAGGATGCGGCACTGTGCGGTCCGACCGTCGATGCCCTGCAAATCAATCGCTTCCCGCTTTTGATGCGCCCTGCCATTCCCTGTTTCTCGAAGCCTGTGCGGCCGAACAGCGTGACAAATGAACGAGAACAAAACAAAAGAGGAAAAGTTGAAAAACAAAGCAGGATGACATAAAACAATATGACCAAATATCATTTCTAGGTTCATCACGGAGAGTCCTCCGTGTATCTATGTTGAAGATAGCCCTGCCCCGCTGGCAATGTAAACGATGAGACAAAAAAGCACAGGGGCAGAAAGGCAGACGTCATAAACATGTGTATATCAGATCCCAACCCAGCAACCGCCCGAGCCCTCTCCAAATGCCGCTGTCCAGAGTCGGCTCCCACATTCTCAGAACACCGATCGACAGCCACATTCTATGCGCCGCAAAGGTTGAGACGGCGCGAGCGCTGAACGTGGTCGATTCTTTGCAAGTTTTGTTCTCTGAAACTGGGTGCCCGTGCATCAGCGGGCGATCCAGCGATCAGAGGTATCTATATGCCAGCAGCGCCAAGATAAAAGCTGGCATACAGTGGGCCACGCATGGCAAACGAAACGACGGAGAAAAGCGCAACCTCTTGCTGATGGCATGAACACCAGCCAACTGCTAAACCGTGATTGCCGTCCCCACGTACCAGAACAATTTCCAATCTGTGACGGAGCTCAGTCCTCACCCATCGACTCGTCGTCGTCGTTATCGCTGCCCTTGCCAACAGCCACGCCACCCTCGCCCTCCTCACCCTCCTCCTCGTCATCGGAGCTTTCCTCGCTGTCGTCGTCCTCGACGCCAATCATGCGCTCCTCCACGTCGCCGTCGGCCGCGTTCGGCAACTTGGACGCAAATGCCTGCCGCACGGCGGCGTTGGTGCTCGTGTCCCACACCGTCAGGTTGCCCTTGCTGCCGGCCACGGCCAGGCGGAAGGCCACCTCCGGATCAGGGGCAAACTGCGTGGAGAAGACCTTGCCGACGTCGAGGGTGCGCGACACGACCATGCTGGGACCGGACGCCTGGATGTTCCACAGCTTGACGGTGCGGTCGCCCGAGCCGGTGGCCATGTAGCCGGGAATGTGCGGGTTGACATCAAACGACGACACCGACTCGTCGTGTGCCTGCAGGGTCCAAACCGCCTTGGTCTGCGTCGGGTCGGCTGGCGCCATGCGCACGTCGTGGTAGTGCACGATGCCGTTCTCGGTCGACACGAAAAAAAAGTTGGGGTCGTGCGGGTCCCAGCGGACGTTCTCGACGTCGCTCTCCACGCCCCAGCGCGGCCGCGTGGCCTCGGGCGCGCGCATGTCGGCGGCCACAATCGTGCGGTCGTAGCTGCCGCTCAGCAGCACCGTCGACTCGACGGCGTGCCATGCCAGCGAGCAGACCTTGTCGGTGTGGTAGGTGTAGGACTTGGCGCACGTCGCCGTGTTGAGGTCCCAGAGCTTGACGGTCGTGTCGGCCGACGCCGAGGCCAGGAGGTTGCGGTGCTTGCGGTTCGCGGCGAGCGACAGCACGGCGTCGACGTGGTAGTGGTCGTTGGCCTTGGCCTTGCTCTTCTTCTTTTCTTCTTCTTCTTCTTCTCGTCGCCCGCGCCCGCGCCCGCGCCCGCGCCCGCGGAGGCCTCGCCGGCCTTGCCGCCCTGGCCCAGGATGACGTTGGGATACATGCAGTCGACCGTGTCCAGGTCCCAGATCTCAATGTCCGGGTCCATGGTGCCGACGGCCACAAAGTTGGCGGCGGCACCCGCGGCCGCACTGGGCTTGCCGACGGGCAGGTCGAGCCACTCGACGCACAGCGGGATGGCCGGCAGCATAATGTCGTGGTGGACGTACAGGTTGTCGGCCTCGTCCTCGTACACGTAGACCTCGAGGTGCGCCAGCTCGTCCTCGACCTTGGCAGCCAGCACGAGGTTGTCCGTTGCCAGCACCTGCAGGTCCTCGCGGTCGTCCTCCTCGTCCTCGGCGTTGGCGTCCTGCAGCGTAATGTAGGGGTCGTCTTTGTTGGACTCGTAGTAGGCCAGCGACTTGATGTTGCCGAAGATGGACATGGGCTGCCCGTCGCTGACACCGCCGGCGGCGTCGTCGTCCTCGTCGTCGTAGTTGTCGAGGTTGTACTCCTTCAGGTCGTCGTCGTCAATGTCTATTGTGGCGGCGGCGGCCTTGTTGCCTTTTGGCTTTTTGCTCTTCTTGCCATTCTTCGCCGCGCCCTCGGTCTGACCCTCGGCCTCGCCATCATCCTCGCCTTCACCCTCCTCTCGTGCATCGTCGAGGTCCTCTTGCGCATCCTCCAGCTGCAGCTTGGCTAATTTGGCGATGCGCTCAAACTCGTCCTCGTTAAACTCGTACTTTTGGGGGAACGGGGCCGCGAAACCGCGCGGTACCCATGCCGTGGTCGTAATCATGGAAGACATGGCGGTGGTCGCTTGTCGTCGCCTGTCGGTAGAAGTACGAAATCAAAAAAGCAAAAGACACAAAGGAAGCAGAAGGAAAAGACAAGGCTTTGGATTCACCGATTCTCAGTTGCTGCTGCTCTGCGAAAAAATCCTCCCCTCTAACTTTTTAGCGGGTCCAGGCGACAGCGGGGCTTATCTTATCGGGCTTCTGCTACGGCAGGCGCTGAAAAGTGGGTTGCAGCACGGCAACCACATGCTCTAGCGCGCTTCGACCACTGAACATTTCCAAATGGCCAGCTGAATTCGCCTCACAACATCTCTATTGGTGTCTCTCACACACACGTTGACGAGCCTCGTCTCGCATCACCACGCTGCTTGCCCCCTGGCACCACGGTATCAAGCGTCTGACGAGCACGATGGATCGGGACTACGGACGCTACCGCCAGAGGGACCGCGGCGGGCGGGACTACGACCGGGACCGTGGCAGCAGAGATCACGATCGAGACCGCGACTTTCGTGGCCACGACAGAGACAGCCGAGACAGCCGAGATGGAGGAGGCAGAGGCCGTGACAGCGATCGAGATCAAAACCGAGACAGGGATGCCGGTTACGGAAGAGATCGAAACGACTGGAACGACCGCTCCGATCGCAACGGCCGTAATGAACCCGATCCGCACTTCAAGCGGCGCAGGCTCAACTTCAACCGATCCGTTCGAGACGACGGTGACGGTGGCGGTGGCGGCGGCAGCAGCAGCAGCAGAAATGGCCGTATCGACCGGGGACAGCCGCCACGAGACGACTACAGCAGCCGGTCGGCGACACCAAGGGGCGACCGCAACCGGCGCGATGCGACACCCGCACAAGAAGAGTTTGGCGCCACGGGCGAGGAAGGTGTCTCGGCCGAGGACGAGAGGGCACTGGACCGCGACTGGTACACGGGCGACGAATTCGGGCACACTTTTGGCGACGAAGACCACAACCCGTTTGGGTCGTACGACGACACCTCGTGGGAGGACAAGGAGCGCCAGGAGCAGCAGATGCTCGAGAAGAAGACGGGCCGTTTCGACCGCGTGAACCCACGAACACTACAGAAGCAAAAGGATGTCGACGCCTGGGAGACAAACCGCATGCTGACGAGCGGCGTTGCGCAGCGGCGGGACATGGGTGCCGACTTTGGCGACGACGAAGAGGCGACGCGCGTGCACCTGCTGGTGCACAACCTGCGGCCGCCGTTCCTAGACGGCAAGACCATCTTTACGAAGCAGCTCGAGCCCGTGCCGGCCGTGCGCGACTTCCAGAGCGACATGGCCGTCTTCAGTCGAAAGGGCAGCAAGGTCGTGCGCGAGCGGCGACAGCAGCGCGAGCGGCAGCGGGCGGCAAAGGACGCGACGAACGCGGCAGGCACGACGCTCGGCAACCTGATGGGCGTGCGGGGCGACAACGACGACGACAGCGCGCTGCCCATGGCCGGCGAGGAGGAAGAGGCGAAGAAGAGCAAGTCGGCTGCCCACCCCGACGCCGCCGGCGCAAAGGGAAGCAACACGTTCGCGGAGCACATGAAGAAGAACGAGGGCGCCAGCTCGTTCAGCCAGAGCAAGAGCCTGCGCGAGCAGCGCGAGTACCTGCCGGCGTTTGCGGTGCGTGAGGACCTGATGCGCGTCATCCGCGACAACCAGGTCATTATCGTCGTGGGCGAGACGGGCTCGGGCAAGACGACGCAGCTGACGCAGTTTCTGTACGAAGACGGCTACGGCCACGTGGGCATGATTGGGTGCACGCAGCCGCGGCGTGTGGCGGCGATGAGCGTGGCCAAGCGCGTCAGCGAGGAGATGGAGGTCAAGCTCGGCAGCACGGTGGGCTACGCGATCCGCTTCGAGGACTGCACGAGCAAGGACACCGTCATCAAGTACATGACGGACGGCGTGCTGCTGCGCGAGTCGCTCAACGAGCCCGACCTCGACCGCTACTCGTGCATCATTATGGACGAGGCGCACGAGCGCGCGCTCAACACGGACGTGCTGCTGGGCCTGTTCAAGAAGATCCTGCAGCGGCGCCGCGACATCAAGCTGATTGTGACGTCCGCCACCATGAACTCGAAGCGCTTCGCCGACTTCTTTGGCGGCGCGCCCGAGTTCGTCATCCCCGGCCGCACGTTCCCCGTGGACGTCATGTTCCACCGCACGCCCGTCGAGGACTACGTCGACCAGGCGGTCCAGCAGGTGCTGGCGATCCACGTGTCCATGGGCCCCGGCGACATTCTCGTCTTCATGACGGGCCAGGAGGACGTCGAGGTCACGTGCGAGCTGGTGCGCGAGCGCCTCGACGCGCTCAAGGACCCGCCCAAGCTGAGCATCCTGCCCATGTACAGCCAGATGCCGGCCGACCTGCAGGCCAAGATCTTTGACAAGGCCGCGCCGGGCGTGCGCAAGTGCATCGTGGCCACCAACATTGCCGAGACCAGCCTGACGGTCGACGGCATCATGTACGTCGTGGACCCCGGCTACTCCAAGCTCAAGGTGTACAACCCGCGCATGGGCATGGACACGCTGCAGATCACGCCCGTCTCGCAGGCCAACTCGTCGCAGCGGTCCGGGCGCGCCGGCCGCACAGGGCCCGGCAAGGCGTTCCGCCTGTTTACGGAAAAGGCCTTCAAGGACGAGCTGTACCTGCAGACCATCCCCGAGATCCAGCGCACCAACCTCAGCAACACGATCCTGCTGATCAAGTCGCTGGGCGTCAAGGACCTGCTCGACTTTGATTTCATGGACCCGCCGCCCCAGGACACCATCACGACGTCGCTGTTCGACCTGTGGGCGCTCGGCTCGCTCGACAACCTGGGCGAGCTGACCAGCCTCGGCCGCAAGATGAACGCGTTCCCCATGGACCCGCCGCTGGCCAAGCTGCTCATCATGGCCGAGGCGTACCGCTGCAGCGAGGAGATGGTCACGATCGTGTCGATGCTGTCGGTGCCCAACGTGTTTTACCGGCCCAAGGAGCGCCAGGAGGAGTCGGATGCGGCGCGCGAAAAGTTTTTTGTGCCCGAGTCCGACCACCTGACGTACCTGCACGTCTACACCCAGTGGAAGGCCAACGGCTACCTCGACAGCTGGTGCACCCGCCACTTTTTGCACGCCAAGTCGCTGCGCCGCGCCAAGGAGGTCCGCGAGCAGCTCGTCGACATTATGAAGATGCAAAAGATGCCCATGACCAGCTGCGGCACCGACTGGGACGTCCTCCGCAAGTGCATCTGTTCCGGGTACTACCACCAGGCCGCCAAGGTCCGCGGCATCGGCGAGTACATCAATCTGCGCACCAGCGTCACCGTGCAGCTGCACCCGACCAGCGCGCTCTACGGACTGGGCTTCCTGCCCGACTACGTCGTCTACCACGAGCTGATTCTGACGTCCAAGGAATACATGTCCACCGTCACCGCCGTCGACCCGCGCTGGCTGGCCGAGCTGGGCGGCGTGTTCTACTCGGTCAAGGAGAAGGGCTACTCGGCGCGCGAGAAGCGCGTCATCGAGACAGACTTTAACCGGCGCATGGAGATCGAGTCGCAGATGGCGCGCGACAAGCTGCGGCAGGACGAGCAGCGGCGCGCCGAGGCCGAGCGCGAGGCGCGGGCCGTGCAGCAGAGCGCCGACGCTGGCGGCGGCACCATCATCGGCGGCGGCAGCGGTGCCCATAGCGGCGCCGGTGGCGCGGCGGCCAAGAAGATTGTCGTGCACGGCGCTGTGCGCAAACCTGTGGCGAAAAAGCGCGGGCGCGGTTTCTAGGGTGGGGGAACGTGGAACAATGAAAAGACTTTCGCCAAACAAGACTTTCGCAAAACGACTACACTGCACCTTTGCATTCCACTCAATGCCGAATCTCAAACGTCGCGTCGCCCTCGACGACGTCCCGGTCCTCCCTGTCGAGCCGCACCACTTTGGCCATTGACGGCCCGCGGTCCAGCTTCTGCAGCATGGTTGCAATGGCCGTCTCGTCGCCTTGTACCTCGCCCTCGACCTATGTCGGGTCAGCAAGGCCCGTGCAAGACGATGTATAAAAGAATGCATGGCACCACCGATACACACCTTGTTATTGGGCAAGTTCCGCACCCAGCCGGTCAGCGCCAGCTGGTTGGCCTGCTTCCGCGCAAAGTAGCTATGCGGTCGTCAGTCAGTTGAAGGATGACACTTTGGATTCGATGTGTGCCGATCGCCAGCTTCACATTCACGTACCGATAACCAACACCTAAAGCCACTGGTTAGTGGGTGTTTTAGGGGAGGCAACCGAAAACCAAGACAGGATATTTACCTTGTACCTCACCGCCGTGGGCGAGAAAGTATACCTGGAGCGGTAGGTCAGTTAAGGCATCTGGAGGTGCCGGAAAAGGTTGGCGATAAGGGATGGTCGATGCACAGGTTTGGTGTTTGTATATATACCCGTTTTACCGCCATTTCAAGACAATAATACAGATAGCCTTTGTTTTGAAAATAATTTTATATCAAAGGAGTGCACAGTCGCAGAGCTTGAGTCGTCATTAAAATGATGATCATGGACACAAGATGTTGTCGGATGTTGTGGCCGAGTTGCCACTAACTTGTTCAAACTTGTATTGCTCGTAGGGCGTAAGAGGTATGTACACGTGACTAATCATGTGCAGCTTTCATTCAAAATGATGTCAGCCATGCGCTAAACTCATAGCGCGTCACTCCCTGTGGCGACCTTTTGCGCATCGCAACCTCACTCCGATATCAGTACTTTCGCGCCCCGTGACGTTACTTGCAGCCTCGTCCTCGGGCTTACACATACGGCACGCCGATATCATGGACCCGTCAAATACAGAAAAGCCAGAAGCTCCGCCTACAGTCGTGTTTGGCCGCTCAAACAAAAAGCGCAAGGCGTACCGGCAAAGAGGCGGCGACTCGGCACAAGCAGACGAACCAGTCGCGACAGCACATAGCCCCGAGAAGACTGACACAAACGAAGAGACAGCGACGCCCACACAGCCACGGCCGGCTGGTGGCGACGACGACGAAGAGACGAAACCAGAAACGGACGACGGCGCCAAAGGCGACCAGGACGATGACGGCAGCGCGGTAGAGGAAAAGGACGACAACGACGCTGGCGACGGCAACGGCGACGACGATGCTGCGGGTCTGACGGTCGCCGAGCTGATCCGGCGGCGCAAGACGCGCAAGCCCAAGATTGGTGGGGTGGAGTTCCGGGACGAGGCTGCCGAGGCCTCGTCATCGTCTGCACTATCGCGTTACGCCGACATGGCCGTCGACGGTATGGACCTCGACATTGCGTCGGATCCCATGGCCATGGGCATGCAGTTTGTGCCGCAGACAGGCATGATCGGCGAGCTCGTCAACAAACACATGTACGGTGCCCTGTCCCTTTTAACTCACTATCCCGCCGGCAGCGAGTAATCCTCTTGATACAGACACTAATCCTTCAGGGAGGAATATGTAGATGCACAGTTGGCTAAACGACACCGAGCAGAAGCAGAACAAGCACATCTGCCGGCTACCGGTGGGCTGGCAGGATCAGGGCCGAGCTCTGGTCCCAGTGCCGGTGCAGGCACATCCGGTGCTGCTTCAAGCGTCGACGCGCGCCAGCAGCTCGCCACCAAAGGCAAGCTGCACGAGATCGACCTGGGCGCCGAAGCGCGTGCGCGCAATGTCGCCATGACCGAGCGCGCTACACAGCGGCTCCGCAGTACGGGCGACGCCGGAGGCGGTGGCTCAGCAGAAGAGGGCACGCAATCCGGCCGCGGCGGTAAGAGGCGCCGCGGCAGCGACGACATCAAGCGAGACCAATTGGTCGAGCAGTTCCTGCATGAAAACAGAAGTAGCCCTCCCCCCTCCATTCCTCGCCAACCTGTTAATAAACCGATAATCACATTTACTTTATACTAACAATCCACCCAGTGGATGTCGATGTCTATGATGCATCGCGCGATGCAGCAGGCACATCCGCAGCAACCACCGAGGGCCGGCCTACAGACGACCGCGTCGCCGAGCAGTTCCGCCGCGAGTTCATGGAGGCCGTCGCCCAGCGCATGCGCCGCAAGCGGAAACCACTGGGCCCGCCCGCCAAGCCCAAGACGGCACGCAACGACGAAGAGATTCTGCGCGGGCCCAAGCTGGGCGGCAGCCGCAATGTGCGGTCCGTCATTCGCGACAAGTTGCTGCAAAAGCAAGAGGAAGAGCGCCACAACATGCCCAAGTACGAGCAGCAGCTGCTGGAGCAGAAGCGGCGGATGAACCGGCGGCGATGAGATGGCAGAGACAACGAGAAGGAATGTTTTGGCGTCGGCGTACCATCTGGGAACTTTGAAGAAACTGTTTCTACCTTTTTTGCCTCGGGCATACTGCGGCTGTATTCGCGATGGCTCTGCATCCCAGAAACAGTTGCCAAGCGCACGGCAACAGTTCCAATAAAAAAGAGATTCATTCGCACACCACGCTGCCACTCAGTCACGGTCATCCGCATGTACTGGAAAGCTCACCGTTGGGTTCAGTGCTATCAGGAACACTCTACGAAATAGGTAGAGTGTGCGTATGTGGGGTCTGCAATAAACTAGACACCGGCGGGCCAACGAAGACGCTGCGTGGGAAGCTCAACTTGTTTCGGCGGTACTATTGAGACACTCTTCTGATATAGACGTTCCGGATCTCGGAGGTGTTCATGAGCCCGTCTTTTCGGCAGTCAGTTATGTTATGTGGGCCAAAAAGAGGCGGAATGTAGAAAAAGAACGCCACTCGCACACATACAAGATCGTTATATGTGCCCCCCTTTTTGATGTAACAATGATACAATTGAATATGAACAAAATACTCATTTTGTCCAGGTCAAATTATTACTATTAATCCAATATTTCCAATATTTCCATTAAAATGGTAGGTCTATTTTCAATTTTGTATTTATTTGTGCTTTTTTTTTTCAAAAAAAAAAGGCACTAATCAATATTGACAAAGCGAAGAGGCGTTCACCATCTGCCCATCCGGGAAGGAGCAAAGAAGGGCCAGGACAACATGATTTTTTCAACTGTCATATGAGGCAAGAGCAGCCGTGCGTGGAGATCAATCAAGCAGGTGCACTTGGCGTGTTTACCCCTTTTTCTGTGTTATCGACTGCAGCGTCTATTTTCTTATGACATTTCATCCGCTCCTTCCTTGCATGTCCTTCCCAGTACCATTCTATTCTTACCATCCCGAATTTCGCCCCTTTTCATCCCAATTGCTTCATTTCTCCTGTTTCTTACCATTCTCGAGCGTCTCATTTTATTCTGCTCATGTTCCTCCAACGCCATCGATTCATCGTCTACCAAACATCAGAACGAACATTGCATATTGTCGATGTCCACTAGCTCGGCTTCACACCTTGTTCAACCGAATGCGTACCGCTCTTGATCCCTCTCAATATGCCACCCACACTTTGCCAATCTGTGGATCCCGCTACTCTGACGCAAGCCAGGGCTTTCCCGCTGCCGCTTCCCGGCATTGGGCAGGATTCTGGGCATGGCAGACCAAGGTTACGTGCGCGCCCTTGGTTTTTGTTTTACGAAAGGCAAGCTCCCTCTGTCTTCTTCCCGCCTCCGCATTTCCACAACAACATGCTTGCTTTGGCTTCTCTCTGCCGCTCTCCACATGGCATCTGAGCCGCATTTTTGACCGTCCCCATCCTACAGCACAATATCAAACACTAGCGGTACGACCTGTGTTTAAGGTGAAATGCACTTCCAATACCTTTTCTCTTGCCAATCCGGGTGTTCTCACACCTGTCGCACGTACGCGGCCCTCCATCTCGAAAGTCCGCCGAGACGTACAATGCCGCCCTTCCCTCCAAGAAGAAACCGTGCCATGCACATCTATTCGATTCGAAACAAAAAAAAAAACATGACAATAAGCTATTTTTGGTGAGTCGTTTTCCGGAAGGTTTAACCGTCTATCCCTCTGCCTCTGACTATGTTCTGTTTCCCCACCTTGACAAAAAACCGATAGTTGAGGTTGACGCTGCAAGGCATATTTGAAGAGGTATTACAATATACTCCGTACTAATACGTCAAATACAGCTACTAGCTAGTTAGTGCCACCCCAGGACCGCCCCGAAGCGGCGGCCAGAACGAAAACGTGGTAGCCATGCGGACATACGGCGCAGGGGACACAGACTATGTCCGACCAAGGACGACTCTTGGCAAGCGACGTGTCGTCTGTCATGGCCTTTTCTGGACCATACGTACGACAAAAAAGCGACGGAGGCCCGGTATTGCTTTGGACACAAGAGGAGAACGAGATCAAAACAAAAAGTCACAGCAGAAGGGGGAGCGGCGGCAATAGCCCGCTAAGCAATCCCTGGTTAGATCGAGCATTGAAGCGGCCGACCACGGTGAACATCACCCCATTCTGCTTTTTCAGAACCGTGCTTCTGACCATTCGCGGACCACATCCGGAGGTTTTATGACTGCATTTATTCAAGTTTCAACCAAGTTCTCTTTGCCATTGCAGCCCGTTAGACCGCCAAGCTAAACAGCCGACGACTCACACTGTCAGGTCAACGTCGTCGTGTTGCTTGGCGATCCTGTTTCGAAATCCAGAGCGTCATGACTGACTTGGTCTACGCTTTGCGGTCTTTCATCCCTAGAATCAATATAAATGGCGCAAAATACGCCATCAGATAAACAAGGAGTTGATCTGGCTTGGATTGCCATTGTTAAATGGTACTCGACTAGCAATGCGGTTAATACAGTGATCGGCTGCAAGGATTTTGTTGAGAGGGTTCCATCAGGGATACGGTCGCACTATGCACTGGCGAGTTGCACATATGCCTACCCCCGTCAATATGCTGGAAACTTGACCCGGCGCAACAGAACGAAGAACCGAAGCAACTCGCCAATCACACCCTGCCACTTCTCGATGCGGAGTGTCTCGTGCCTGGCCTCCACAGCCCCAACGCCTCAGGAACTCCGTGCGGGTGCCTCCCCGAAACCTCGCCTCCCATTACCTGTTTTGTGGCCTGATGAGCCCTGCGCCAGTTCTGCGTTGGCATTCGACACTTATTCGCACAGCCCTTTCTCCTCGTTTCATTTCGGCGCTCAAAATAGAAAGAAGCCCTCTTCATGCTGGTCGATCCAAGCAAGGCATTGCCTCCGCCCCACGTGCATCCACCCCGAAGAAGTGCAACATCCGCGCTCGCATGTTGCGCCACGGGAAAGCGTCCCGCTTCGAGCGCGGGGACGTCAACTGTGGTCGAGTATGTCGGCAATTGAATGCGGTTAGAGCCTGAAGTCGACATCTTAAAAGAAAGAAGACAAGAATCTAGTTATGGGGCTTTGCTCTCTGTTTCTAGTCTTTTTGATATTGGGTGCATATTGTTGCTGATGTTTGCGTCCAGACGATTTGAAGAAGCGGATCGTCTTTTATGGTATGGATAAAATCTTAACATCCACACTTATGCGCACCAAACAAAACGATATAAAAGGGAGAACTGAAGATCAACTCCTGTGATAACCAAAAATACGAAAGAAGAAAATGCACGCGTCTTTTGTGCCAACACCCCTGTCTGCCCTGTCGCGAGCACAACAAAAGTCAGTCCCAAACAAGTGGGCAGTGGGGATTGTCTCTCAGGTCAGTGTTACAGTTTGCATTGGCCTGCAGCCCCGCCGCAGAAACATCAAGCACGTCCAGGTGCCATGAATTGTCCGATACAGGGCGGCGAGCTTTGCAAGTGTCCGTTTCACATTTGTCTAGATCTCTGCGGCCATTGTATGCACCCTATCAGGTTTCGCATACTGCTATGATCGCCAAAAGAGGGTGTCTTGCCGAAGCGTCAACCACAGCGGCAAGGATGTGCAATTGTACTTATCCTAACCGAAGACTGCCAAAGGCTTGGATGTCGCGACAGTCTGGGTTGCAGCCCATAATGCAGCAAGTTATTTTTAACATGTCGATGTTTGATATTGCTGCAAACGGGTTTGCTTCCAACCTTCTTTGAAGTGCTTCCACCTCATTCCATGTCATGTCAACAAAACTTCTTCGATGGTGCTAGAAACTCGCTTGAGCAATTTTCTTTTTTCAACAATACCATCTAACACGACCTCTCCCAATTCGCAATCTTTACTGAGACTTCTCACCAGCAATTAATCACCAAAAGCAGAAATCAGGGCCAAATCTGTTTCACTTGCGACAATTGCAAATACGGGCAATCTATCAAGGCGTCTGTGTGTCTGTGTGTCAACGTTTCTCGTGTCTGTGAACCATGCCCGCTACATTACAATTGCAGGGCTACCCTCCCGCGAGCCTACCAAGAGTGGAAACGGATAACTTCAATGTGGAGTAGAACCTTCTTTGGATCCAGACTACCGTTACACATAAATGTACAACATACCGCAAACGTCTCGTTTGCACTGGCGGAGTCTGGGTCAGGATCAGCGCGGGGGTCTAGAGGCGATGCAGCAACGCCGTTTTATCGATCGATATATTCGACCTACCGTCCTTCGCTACGTTTCGGGCAGCACAATAAACGGAACATGCCAAAGAGCTGGTAGAAACCGCCTGGACAACGTCTCCTGCACACAGTCCCAGATATGTTTACGACGTACGACATACCTTGCAAGCATTACGGAGAATTACGGCATGAAGCTTTTAATCCTGAAGGGGCCCCTAAGTGCAGAGCCTCTACTCACCACTCCAGCGCCATGGTATTTATGTTTGCAAAAACGGAAGCAGGCGATGCATAACAGAGTCACGTATTTGCCTTTTACTAATGCCGGTAAAATGGGGTTTCTGTGCCTTCGACCCCAACAGTCTCGTCAAGCTCGAGAAGAGGAGCGGCAAGCAAGACGCAGTGATAAATAAACCAGGGTCGCTGAGCAACGTCTTTTTGGCAACTGAGAAGGACGAATTCATGACAGCCTCGGGGATGCTGGATGTCAACCCCCCCCCCTCCACATGACACTGTCGACGAGGCAGGTGTTAAAGCGAGATCTCGCCCATCAACGTCCCTCTTGAAGAGAAGGACGTATCCTCTACCCACCGCTACATCCTGGCCCTCCTACCCCTTAAATGGGGGACTAGACTGGAGGGGGACCCCGCATCGTCATCATCACAAGACGCGGCGGACCCCTGTTCGCCGCCATGGCCAGGGTGCCGGCAGGTTGTTCATTCACTATCCCATCTGGGTTGAGCAACACAACGCAAGCCCAAATCAACCACTGTGTCCATCGTACGCCACTGTGCATACAAATCCGCCTATGCGAAGCATTTGAAGGTTTTCAGGACCTTTGCCTGGGCCTAGCCCACAAGTGAGAGCAAAAGTGTGCGCGCAATGTCCCATCTCCGAGCTGGTCTAGCCTGGTCTGCAATGGCACTCCAGATTTAGCAAGGGTCTGCAAGTATTTCAGCTTATGCCGTACTCGAATAAGGACTTGAGGATCATAATCCAACAACACAATCGTTCAGCTAGACCGGGGTGCCATCCTACCTGCGGTTTCTTCTTCGAACTCTCAACGGAGTTTGATGCTTGTTTTGGGGCAAAAAAGATGGGTTCAGGGAGAGGGGAGAAGGGGTTGTGGGCCTTGTTGCCGCAGTCATGCTGGTCGAAACATCTATCAAAGCTGTCTGACTTTACCTGAGCGTGGAGTTTTCTGGTCTGCCACAACGTATCATCTCAAGGGGACCTGCGGGCGGCGAATGGGCGACAAAGAAGACGAAAAGAGGGACGAATAAAGAGACGAGAGAGCCAAGGGCACAGGGGTTGATTTTCTCTGGCCCTGCTCCCGCTATCGGGAGCAACCCGTGTCATGGCCTTTCCAACACGAATGGCATCAAAGCCATTGGTTTAGTTGGCCTAGTATCGTCTCGCCTTCCTTGCCTTCTCGTAAATTCACACCCAGGGCAGAGAAACACTCGAGGCAATCACCAGCCTCTGGAAACAAGCCAGGGCATGCCGACCCCTCTAACCCCTGCCTTGCCTTTGGCCTCGCAGGCCGGTACCCTGAGAGTGATCCTGTAAGGAGTACATAGCGTGGCTCACGACCACTTCTTCACCCCACCGACACTCTTCTTTCACTCACCATATTGATTTTCATTCTCTTGATCACCTCCTACCATTTGATCGTTCGTCTTTTCCTATTCCGGCTCTTTGGATGACCAACAAGTTTTCACACAATACACACAGCAAGTACTGCCCCCTCTTCGCCTGCTTCTCCTTCTACTCTTTCTATCTCAGTCTACCCCAAACGCAATTTCGAGCTTTCGATCGTCGTCAGTCTTCTTTGTCTGGTCTGGTTCCATTCGAGAGTAAACTGAACTGAAAAAAAAAAATCCACGATAAGTAAGAGGACGGCCGCAACGCGATTTTCCTTTTATTTTATTTTACCACAATCGAAGCATCAGCAGCACCTCGCAGCCTAGATTCCCAGTACGAGAGAATACGTTCAAACAGGAAACAACGTACTTGCGCCATTCCTCGTCACTCGTAATTTCCCTAGCGACGATCTGACACTGGTCTATCGACAAGAGCTTCTCCCCGCATGAAAATATCGTCACGTCTGGGACTTCGCCCAACCCCGGATGCAATACACTATTCTCGCCGCGCCACTTGCCCGCCGCTTTGCCACTGGCTATCAACTGCTAACTAATGTGTAGCGAGCAGCTCGTTCCAAAAATACGAAGTAAAGTCGGATATGGCGAAACTATTTATCGGGTATGCACTGTGGAAAAGACAACCTGGCGATGCTTATTTTACCACGACGTACTGACGGTTGTGTTTCTAGCGGATTGGCTTGGCACACAGAGGAGACTACCCTCCGCCAAAAATTCGAGGAGTATGGCGCTGTCGAAGAAGCGGTACGTGATATTTTCGTCTCCCGCTGTCCATATCGTTGAACTCTCCTTTCTCTCCCCGAGCCGCTTGGTCTACTCGCTCCATCACTTCCCGTCGGAGAATGTCTGGAACTGTGGCCGACTTTGACCGCAAATGCACGCAGCGATGACTGTGACAAATACAGAGAAGAAGATGAGGCAGAGAGAAAGAGAGACAGAGAGAAAGAGCAACGACTTATGGATGTAAGGTCTTCTAACCCTATTTATCGCCTTCCCCCGTCGATTTTGCACATTTTAGGTGGTTGTAAAAGATCGAGACACTGGTCGCAGTCGAGGCTTTGGCTTCGTCCGGTACACAAATGACGCCGATGCCCAGAAGGCGATCACGGCGATGAACAACATTGAGTGAGAGAGACGCAATCACCTGTTTTTGTTTTGTTTTGCTCCTTTGTTTCTCCTTTTATTTTTCTTTTGTGGCTTCCCTCAACGTCGGGTAATAGTATTGGGAACAATTTCTAACCTGGATCTTCACTCTTCCGTTAGGTTTGACGGACGGACTATCCGCGTCGACCGAGCATCAGACACTGGTCCGAGAGGAGGCTTCTCCGGACGCGGTGGTCCCGTTGGTTACGGCCCGAGGGGAGGCTATGGCGGACCCCAACATATGCAGGGTGTCCCATATGGCGTCCCGCCGCAGGGCTATGCAATGTCAGGACCGCCCATGTACGGCCAGTCGTATGGTCGCGGTAGCTACCCTCCCCAGGGTCAGTATGGCGGACAGCCAGCTCCAGGTATGATCTCTTCCCGTCTTCCAAGAAGCTTTGAATTTGAGCTAGAGACGGATTGGCCCACGATTGACGAGGGCAATGGAAACAGCCTTATGTGGTTGCGAGAAAAGCGTTGTACTAACGGTTGCATTCATAGGTTGGGGACAACCGATGTACGGTTACCCTGACATGCAGCAGCAAGCCCCTCAGGGGCAACAGGCACCTCAGCAGCCTTCGCAACAACCGCCGCAAGGTGGCCAAGGTTACTAACGTCGAGCCGCATCGACCCTTGGTGAAAGGTGTGACAGGGACCGAGTGCGTTCTCATTTCGGACCCGAGGGGAAAACAACCGGAAATTTGCACCTTTCAAGATTCGAAAAGGATTTGGAGACGGAAGAATCAAAACAAAGACAACGACGTATGTTGTTGGTTGCAACTGAAAGAAAGAGTGGGACCTACCTGGACTTTGTGTCTCTCGGGCTCTATTCTATTGCACTTTCTGGATATTTCGTCGTCATCAAACCAGCTACTGGATGGCGGTTGTACGATCACCATGGATGGCCGTTGCTCGCTTCGGTCGATCTGCATGATACCCTATTCTTTCAGGTTAGGAAGCGTTCTTTGGGACTCGGGTTTTCTCCAACGCCCTTTTCGACGACACTTCCGACAACCGCATGGCGATGCCATTTTTTCGGTTCTGCTTCCGCGTTTGTCGGTTTACCATTTTGATTTCGTTGTGTGCTGCTTCTCTTCTTTGTCCCTATTTGTTGTCGCTTATGCTTTATTTCTGTTGTTTGATTAAAATGACGTTCTCTTCTCTTTCCCGTTTCGTTTGCCTTTTGAGACTGCAGCATGTTGCTTTTGATTTATGTTGTGCCAGAGAACAAAAGAAAAGAGGAAGACAAAAAGACACGACCACGATGCATGTTGTAAGGGAAGATCTGGGAAGCTATGAAAACAAACCAGGTGCATATAAGGGAATGACAAGAATAGGGATTCATGTATGATGGCTACGGGAATCACCGGGGTAAAAGGAGGTTGGGACCGTGGCAATGGATGCGGAGCGGGAATAGGAAGTCGTGGTCTGGATATATATGTTGACGACAAACACCTCGACATATAACGATGGAGCAGCACAGTTCATGGGCACACGTTGGTCACACCGTGGCCACACCGTGGACAGATGAACCGCAACACAATCTTGACTGTGGGTTGGGAATTGTTGTCTTGGGAAACTTAGGGTTTGGTTGGTAAATAGCGAGGGAGACGGGGCAAAAGAAAGGAAAGAAAAACACGAAGTGTGTTGAAACAAAATAAGGGAAACTGCTTTGGTCTTTTTTCAGACTCGTTGTTATGTGGATTCTTTCAAGAGATTTCTCGGTCTCCAATTGCTTGCTCTCAACTACTCTTGCTGGAATCGCCGTGTGTGATCTGACGATCTGATGCTGACTGGTAAAATAAACAGAAAAAAAAAAAAATAAACAGGAGGAGGCGCACGCATGATGTTGTTCTGTTTGTATGTTATCTGCAATTGTCTTTTTCGGTCGAGCCATACCGCGCTGAGCCTGCAGACCCTTTGGTGGGGGATCCTGCTGACTCCTGATTTCTTTTCTTCTCAACACCGCCCATTCGGTTCATCGATCAGCCGTTGGTCGTCGTATGCATCTATGTTTATATGTCGTCTGTTGCCGTTACTGAGCAGAAGGGTTTGACTTTGCTTCGGCTTCGGCTTCGGCTTCGGCTTCGGCTTCGGCTTCGGCTTCGGCTTCAGAAGCAGCCTTGGCCAAGGCCCGCACGCGGTTCGACAGGTCTGTGACGTGCTCGTCGCCGCTCTCCGGGCTCAGCTCATCGAGCGCCGTCTCCAGGCCCCACAAGTAGTCCCGGTTCGGCCCACTCGGCCCCGTCGACCGGTAAATGTGCTCCGCCAGGGCCTGAACGTCTTGCGGACCGGTAAACTGCGGGTTCTCGGGCGTGCCAATGTATGCCATGGTGCGAAACGCGGCAGTGCCCTTGGACGCAGGGTAAAACGGCGTGTAGTGAACGGTGTAGCCGTTGATCTCGCGAATGTCGAGATACTCGCGCACCTCGGCGGCGTGTGCGGCGTCGATGCGGTAGGCGACGCCCCAGACTTTGTCGGAGGCGCAGTCGTGGTGATCCGTCAGGTTCTCCCAAAAGGAGCGCTCAATGAGCGTGGCCACGCGACCGGGTGCCTCGGGGGTGCCACGGTGGTCTTCACTGTGTGCGAGGGAGAAAATCACGCATGTCAATATTTGTGTCTGCGCATCTCAACGACAAAGCATCTTTGCCAGCCCCCGGTCCTGTTCCCGTCGACGAGGAGAAGATTGAAATGCTCACCTTGCCTAGTACAAATGTTAGCAGCTGTTCAACGCGGTAGAGGTTACGACGGCGTGTAAATGAAAAGCGAGACTGCGAGACTGTCGTAACATACCTGCCAAAATCGGCGCACATAACCGGTCACCCATCCTGGTACTCTGCGGTCTGCTCCGATCCAGGGTCAGCATCAGTACATCGTCCAAGAGAGCGTGGTCTTTGAGAAGTTGTGTCGGGATCGTACCGAAATGTGGTGGCGGCTTCCAGATGAGGCTCCTGTTGAAGACATTGTTGGTTAATGAGCTGAAGTCGGTGCTGACATTCGAGGGATGTGGACGCAGGAGGCACGTCAGGCGATACGGGACGGGAAACTTGGGAAACGAGGGAGATGATTGGAGGGAGACGTTTTCGGGGAGAAATGGGGATGTGTCCATCCCAGCCAAGTCCACCAGGGCCTTTGTGCTTTGTGCTGTGTGTGCTGTGACTGCCGCAACTGCGACACAACAAGCGACGTAGGATTAGGGGTGCATGAATTGGCACCAGACAGCCTCTTACGAGGCAGACAAAGCAAACGAGGCCCCCTCAAGGAGAGCACGAAAACGCAATACGGGCACATACGCATAACCAAATATCCAAAACTCGCCTTCGACGACCGCGGAAGCTGTCAGAGCTGCGTCGAGTGTGCCTTCCGGAACGCCATTCGGCTGTGGTGGCAGCTCGCTTCCAGTCATGGCTGGTCGAGAGCAAGAAGGATGAGGGACGGGGGCTAAGATAAGCAACCTGATATGCCGTGTCTTGGTGTCTTTTTATACACAGGGGTAGTTCATGCGGATGCGATCGAAGTTTGGTTCAGGGGACGTTGATCAACCGGACGGTCGTCGGAGATGGTTTGCTGGAGAGAACTGTACCGATACATGCAGCAGTATGAAAATGGGCGGGATATGTCGAGAGAAGCGTTCGTGGGTTATATATAGAATGAAATGTACGAGAGAGCTGGACTGTTGATATGTGAGCAATGCTGAGAAATTGGTCGATTAGCAGACATGGGGGATGCGATGGCAGAGCTTATGGGCCGCCCAGCCACGGCAAGACCGCTCTTTCTTTTTTGGCCTTTATTTAGCGCATGACCCTTTCTCACTCTTCTGACCGTGATATGCCCAAAATAGGGGAACAGAAGGAGCGACTGACGGACAAAAGATGAAGTCAAGTCATGAAAGAATAAGGAAGGCCAGATATAGAAAGAGCGATGTGACAGTCGATCACTGTCTTATGCAACATCACGGACCTGTAACGGTAAGGTACCGATGCTATCTTACAGGGCTGCCGGCCAATATCATCAGACCAGCGCGGTGAGACGGACATAGGGACGTCCGTCTACGGATATACCGCGGGGCGCCTTTCGCAATCTTCCGGGGGGGTTCCCCGTTGTCAAGGAGGTCGGACGAAAAAGCTGTCGTGAACAACCTCGTCTACCTTACCTTGCCCACCATACGCCGTATTAGTGGACATCGAGGAAGAGGCCAGGAGGTCAAGGCTACCCAACTACATAGTGCACGCAAGGGATTTAGATGCAAAATGAGCAAGAGCGACTGATAGCATCGCTTGGTGCCTCTTTCCTGTTGTTCAGTCTTGACCAAATCCATCGGGCAAGAACGAAACGCTTCTCTTCGGGGGGCAGGAGCGCGAGGCAGCAAGATTCCAAAGCTCAAACACATTTGTTCGTCAGCTGAACACAGTAGCACGAGGCACTGCCCTTCTCGTAAGTATTGATTTTTGCTTTTTCGGCCGCAGCCTGCGCGCCACCAGCTTTTGGGTTATCTGTGCCTGACAAGTAAAGCATTCCCAAGCCTTGTCTAACTGCCAGGGCCTAACATCGCCCCTCGTGATTACTTCGTACTCCTGCATCAGTCGTCATCGTAAATGGAGCTGCCAAGGCACTTGCGAGGCAAGAGTCCTTCCCTGCTATTCCTCTTCGTTCGTAGAAAGCCCATCGCGCCTGCCCTGCGAGGCTTGCCTCGTTCCCACTTCAGCCCCTCAAGTATGGAAGCTGCGAGGGGTGCTGTGGAGGCTCAAAATATCACTCCGTCGCTCCTGCAGCTGCCTTTGGCTTTCCCCACATCACCCCTCCATTTTGCTGGGCTTCTTTGGCTTTCTTGGCCAAGCACGTTGTAGACAGTCAGACAGTAAAGGAAGGAACTATTGGCATCGAAAGGGGGAAGGACCAAACTGCCTTGGCCATATCGACCCTTGTTCTTACTTTTGCGACTTTCACTCTTCTTAACTTCTACATCGTTTGAAAGGCACACTTTGTCATAATAAAGCTGCGCGTGGCTGTTCTTTCTCCGTCATATCCGCCCGACTCTCTCATATCTACTAGAATAACATCACCTTGCTTTCCACACTCCAGTCGCACAGCGATTTGGCTGCAGACAACTTCTCGAGAACCAAAACGCAAATCCACGCCTCGACGAGCTTCCGGAGACCCCTGCCCTGCATCCTAGATCACCTCCTCGGCACTCGACAGTACGAAAACGACACGATCATCGTCATACAGAGTCCTTTCCATCTTCCGCCAGGCCAGCGGCGCAGTACTCTGCACGCTGCTCTGAAACGTGGGAACTACCCCCTTCAGAGAGCAGGGTTTCCTACAGCTACAGCGCCATACCCCTCGAAACGTGGGCATCGTTCCGTGCACCGAACTCCGTTCGAGAATCTAGCTGCCCGAACGCTTCTTTGCGACATCTACCTCCCACCTCGACTCTTTCGAGGGAAACACTAGAAGGTATGCCAAGGCTCACCATTCAGCATTTTACGAGCGCCGCCGGCCGACGATACTGATACAAGCATCGAACAAGCTCCTCGCGTTTGCCTCCAATGGCCTACCATAACCCCAACAACCCGGACGCGCTCCCGTGGTAAGTCTATCTTCTCCTTTCCCCCCTTTCTTAGTGGCTGCGCTGTGCTGCGCTCATCGAGCAAGAGGGGTTTCGCTGCATACCGGCGCGAAGTGCTTCCCGGATCTCGAAAGGTTCGCATGCTGACGACGATCTTCCCGATAGGTTTGCCGAGCCAGAAAAGGCGAGTTTCTCTCTCGACGTAGTCTTGTCTGCCTCGTGCGCCTCGATGCGCCCGCAGTCCACGGCCCCCACGTAGCTGTCACAGAGAAGCGGTCACTAACATGCACGAAACTAACAGAAAGGGGGCGACAAAGTCAACACCAACCAGCAGCCGCCGCCTCAACAGCAAAACTACCGGCCGCAACCGCAGCCCCAATATCACCAGCCGCAGCAACCTCAGTACCACCAGCCACAACAGCAGCAGCAGCAGCAGCAGCAGGCACCGCCGAGGCGGCAGCCGGAGCCTTCATATCGTCAAGATGCACGGCCGCACTCGCCGATGGGGCCCCCGCGTGATGGATACAACAGTGGCGGCGGCGGCGGCGGACCGGGTCGGGTAGGCTTGCCGAGCGGGCCACGTGCCGGTGCCAACATGCAGCCACCACCGCGGTCGCCCGTCCCGCCAGCGAGAATATCGCCCGCTCCTCAGAGCCCGCAGTCGCGCGTCATGTTCCAAGGCGACGAGGAGCTGACAACGGACCAGCTGCGGACCATTTTCGAAGGACTGGATACGCATCGTGAGTCTCTAATGTGTCCTTGTATTGCAGTACTTAGCACCCGACTACTAACAGTGTAGGCGTCGGCTACATTACCGAGAAGCAGCTCGCGGAGAACCTCGTCAACAGCGACCGCACCAAGTTTGACACATACACGGTCAACATGATGGTCCGCATGTTCGACAGCGACCGCAGCGGTGACCTCAACTTCCAAGAGTTTGTCGGCTTGTGGCAGTTTCTGGACCGCTGGCGCACCATCTTCAACCGGTTCGACACCGACCGCAGCGGCAACATTTCCATGGACGAGTTCAAGAACACGTTGGTGTCCTTCCAGTACCGCCTGTCGGACGGCTTCATTGAGTTTTTGTTCAAAAACTACGACCGCGAGAACCGGGGCGTCATCACGTTCGATCTGTTTATGCAGTCGTGCATCACGCTCAAGCGCATGACCGACACATTCAAAAAGTACGACGACGACCGCGACGGCTACATCACCATCAACTTTGAGGACTTTGTGTCCGAGTTCTTGCGGCAGATGCGGCGTGTCATGATTGTCGACGACGGCAAGAACCAACCGCCGCCAGGGGCCTACTAGGCCGGGGCTCCGGGGGTGCAGCTCGCTCTGTGCGACGTCTGCTGTCCAGCATCTCCTTCTTAGAACGAAGATACCCTCCCTCCACGCCTTGGGTCTTTTGGGTAGACATTTTTGTTATCTTTTTATTATGCAACAGCACCTGGTTATTTTTATTTTTTATTTTTTATTTTTATTTTTTATTTCTGTTTTACTGTTTGTTCCATTCGGTTTGGTTGTCTCTGATGTCGAAAAAAGACCATACACAAGCAAATTCGAGTTTATTATATCAACGTGACGACAGCAAGGCGTGGGCGGGCATGATGGCTATTAAGGGTAGTCCGGTTAGCTCTCTGATCATCTGTGTTCGGTAAGCCCTACTACTACTGTGAGAAAGCTACACGAGAATAGAAAGAGCACCTGCTTTAAATGACGATTTTGCTGTGATAGGTACGACGAAGAACATTTCGTTACACGCTCCGTCACGATGCATTTCCGTTTTGTCAGCTCTCGAGAGCTTACTTGGGATCGTCGTGGTGCTCCGTCAATGCTTATCCCCTATTTAGGAAAATGAGTGCTGCATGGGCCGGATTCATCCAGCTTGTCCGGCATCGATCATGAACATAATCACCAAATACACGAAAGGGAGCTTCCTCAGCTTCTTCAGCTCTCTCAGCTACATCAGCTACATTAGCTGAGCTCTGGGACTTTATTCTCTTTGTTCTGGCACCTAGACTGCGTCGTGTCAAGACGATCGTGGGGACTTCTGTCGCAGCCAATCAAAAGTTCTGAATTTAGCCGGGCATTATTCACACCCCCCTCATCATACCAGCTTTTTCCTGTGTCCCTTTCCTCGCATGACGTCCCACGGAGAGCTTGGGGACAGCTCCCTTTATTTTGTGGGCGTCCCTTCAAACGGCAATTTAAATGGGGACCTCGAGCTTTTATTGAGGCGGTGAAGGTGTTTCACGAGCTTCTCCTCCTGTTGCAGCACGGCCTTGCTCACTCGTGTCAACGGCCAGTGTATGCGAAGCATCGTCATTGTGCTTCATTGTTCAGCCTTGTGGACGGGGTACTGCGGGCAGCCGAAGAAGGGTTAGTTGAGAGACAAAAACGAGGAATAAGCCAAAAAGGAAGAAATGACCCAGGATGCTGGGAATGAAAAAAGTAAAAGAAACAAGAACCAAAAAAATAAGCGATAGCAGGGTTTCGTCGCCACAAACATGGCAGCGCCGCAAAAAAAGGCAGAGGCGAATGGGCAAAAATGAGCTCGGTCAACGAAGGCCTTCACCAGGAGATCTTGGCTAGGAGGCAACAAACGCTGCCGTCCTGCTCTTGGACGGGAAAACCACGAAAAAAAAAAAAAAAAAAAAAAAAAAAAAAAAAAATAATCAAATCAAATCCCAGGTGGGGAGGTCAGAAAAAGAGCCTTTAACGATGAATGAAAAACTGAGGTAACGAAAAAAGAAAAGATGACATGGGAAAGGGTACCAAAATCTGCGGAAATAGTGAACTGACAGGTGGTAAGTAATGGTCGAGGCAGACGAGTCTGGCAGTGGGTCCCCTTCGTCTCGAGACCTATCTCAAAAGGGAAGTTTTGCTGTCGTCGAATGGAGACTTCCGCATTGCCTCACATGCTTCACGCAAAGCGTCAATATGGCCCCGCACCCGCTGTTTGGATCCTTCCTTCTGCTCTGAGCTACAATGGAAGGAAGTCGCTCTGGCCAATGACTGCGTCCGTGTTACGAGTGCCACTGCACGACATAAAGAATACCCACTCCTTTTCTCTTTTGTCTCTGGCGATGCCGGAGCTTGAAGCTTCACGTTCTGCCAATTCTGTCACACTTTGTCACGGCAGCGAACCTATCTGCTGGGACTATAACCGCAGACACCGCCTTGTCGTTGTGGCAGTCACTTGCTCTCGTACGGAGTTGAGCTTCTTTTTCTTCTCCCCACGGCCCACCAAAGTTGCACCCTGCAGCTACAAAACAAATCTTGCGATTCAGATAGCAGAAGGCCTGGGAGCTCTCTGAGAGTTGCTCGGAGAGAAGTGCCTTTATGAACCTGGAACACCACTCTTGTTCGACCGTTCGGCCACGAGCTTTGGTTGGCCGTTCAGGACACCAGCGCTTATCGTGACATACCAAACGTCCTATTTTCACTGAAAGCTACAGAGGTACAACAGTACTTCTGCTCCTTAGTCTTTTATGTACAGTGCACGTTTTGGTGGATTGCCCGAACCGCGCGCTCCATTGCCACTCGCCTCCGAGCTACCGGGTCTGAGACGTGAGGTGCCTTTCCTAAAAAGAGTGGCCGATTAATTTACCCTTTTGGGGCAATGTATCCTTTGAACGACAAGAGAGAAAGAAGACGGAAGCGGTAACTGCCATGGGCAATCGTTTCGCTTGTTTCGGCGGTTACGCGGTTTCCCTGAGAACTTTTATTCTTCTTTGTTCAAACCGTCGCTATTCAGGCGGCGGGCCCCTCTTTTCTGTCCGTCTGTTTTCGTTTTTTTTTTTTTTTTTTTTTTTTTTTTTTTTTTGGTTTCTAGCCTTGGGCCCAGCCCATGAAGTTGCTGGAGAACTAAACAAAAGGGTGGAGCGCCACCGAGAGCCTGGTTGTTTCTTTCTTTTCTTTCTTTCGCCTGTGTTTTTTTCTCTTTGATTTCGCGGCTTCAGCGCAAGGTCGCTCCGAATTTGGTCCAGAAGGCTGCCGCACATATATTTGCAGGGTCTAACGTACCTTCCAGGACGAGACGCCATTCGTCGCTATTCGAAGACAAAGTTTAGAAGACCAACGTGCAACCGACCGATCGATTGATTGCGCCTCCCGGGGTCTGCCGCCGATTGGGATTTCACAGCTCATTGCAATAGACAATTGAAAGGGGTCTCGGAATCTGTTCCTGGTCTACCAATCTGACCTTGTTGGCTGACCATTTGTTGCCACCAAAGTAACAAGCAAGTACGACGTACTCCGAGGTTGTAGTTTCCTTCCCTCTCGGAGCTCACTTGGCCGCCTTACTCGCTGGCCGCAAATGACAGACAAAGAGTCATAAGCTCCCGCGAATACCTGCTCGTGACTTGCCCGTTACAGGGGTGAGCAAGACACATCAGACTCGCCTTTGTGGCAGGCGAGCTCGAGCTATTCTTCAGTAATTCGTAGGTGGCCAATCAGATAGCATTTCCCGCTACCCAACTCCTGGCTCCGACGTCTTCGGTTTCCCCACTTTGGGGGATTCTTTCTGCCGCTTTTTCCAACGTAACAGGAGCGAAGAGCGACAGACTTTTTAACTTTTTTTTTTAAAAAAAAATAAGAGCTGACTCCCTGGGTACCAGTGGCCAAAAGAGACAGACCCCCCTCTCCCCTCTAGGTCCCCTTGCCCCTCAACTTCTATCGGTTATCTTTCGAGAAAATGAGACGCTGTAAACTGCACACCTTTCTTTACATCCCGAATCTGACGACCAAAGAGGCAAAACTTTGAAAAGTGAGCTTGATGGAGAGCTAGCTTAGGGCCAATTGCCACGCCTTGTCGTGAGCTCGGCCATGTGCCGGAAAGAGGAAGCAATGAACCGTTCAGCTTTTGCCTTCTTGCAGACGGAAAGCCCGACCGCATCATTGTTCGAGAGCACAGGCTCGACAGGGCACTGCACAGCTCTTTCCTTGCCTCGACCTACCCCCTGCACTATTTTGTCTCGTGCACACCCCCTCCCACTCAGCCACCCGCACACCCCTGGCAAGCCCTGACGACATCAAAAGCTCCCCCTGTTCCTGCTATCCGTCGTTCCACTACGGAGTACACTGTCCTGTCCCTCTCTGTATCTCTGCACCTCTTCTCGCTGCCCTCCCTTCGTTCAGACTCTGTTCGCGTCTGGACGCAGGCAGGCACGGCATCACTGGTCTCCATCCCTTCTTAGGTCTACGATGTACGACGTATTATTTCACTCCCGTGTTCTCTCTGTCGCTCTGCTGGCCCGCCCAACCTGCTCTGTGCTCTGTGGTAAACCCCTCGCCTACCTTGTAGATTGCTTTGCATTGAGTCTCTTTTATTAGCCAAACGGCAGACCCATGCAGTCGTAACGTTCTCGTGCATTATTTGGCTGGCCCCTTCCCTTTCTGTTCCTCCCATGGCCGCTCCCCTCTTCGTCCCGCTCTGTGTACTAGTTTAATCCCACCCCCCCCCCTCCCCGCCCCCTCTCTCTCTCGTGTGAATCACCCACATCCATTTTGCCCGCCAAAGTCATAGCTCGCAGCAAGGAAGCTGCGACTCGAACCCGCAGAACGCGCTTTTTCCGGACCTCGTAGAGCTGTCACCTGCCGTCTTTCTCTGCGTCCCTGCTCTTGCTGGCCTTTCTTGTAGCAGGTCCCTCTCTCTATCGGAGCAGCCAACGTCCAATCCAGCTTCCCCCAATCAACGCCTTCCCGCAGTGCCCAGTCAATCCACCAGAGGCCAAAAGGCCCCCGTTCCGCTGTTGTCGGGCTCCATTTGTCCAGCTCCTTTAGTTACAGAGAAGCTTCCGTATTACCATGTGCATTTGCACCAGTAGAAACACGTCCCCTCCTCGCTCACAGCTTGGGTGCGCCCACCGCCTTTCGCTGAGCCGCTGAGACATGCCACCGCCAAACCGCTAACTCGACCGACCGACCTTGTGACTTGGCCTAGCTCTTTCATGCCCTCCGTTCCTTCCCTCCTCGAGCCACCTCCGGCGCTCTTTTCTATCTCGGTAGTAGCTCTTTCCTCGTCTGTGCCTTTGCCCCTGTTCTTTCTCTTCTTGTCTCGCTTTCGTTGGCCGCTTCCCTCTTTTCTCTACTTGCCCTCGCGTTCTCGCCTTCCTCACTTCTTATTTCCACACTTCCGTCTTTCCCATTCGAGCCTCGTCCTTTTGTGCCAACTTTGCTCAGAAGCTTCTTTGTACACAGCCCATTTGCTCTTTCCTAGTGCTCTTCATTCGCTGTTCTCTACGTTTACCGGGTCCCGCCTGCTTGATTATCTATTATCGCTGCTTTCGGCCTCTCCACACCCCATTGCTCATTGCTCCTTCTCTTTTGGCCGTCCCATAGTAGATACTTACAAACTGAAGTTGCTCTTGCCTTACTACGACTGATCTGCTTAATGCTCCGTAACTTCTCTTCGAATCCTCTGCCCACACGTTTTCTCTTCTTCCTTTCTTCCACCTACAACCTCCTTGTTACGCCCTTTCTTTCTACGAATTGCTTCACGCTACCCGACGTCCATCTTTCTCCAGTCACCGTACGCCGGACAGCTATTATCTCTAGGATTTCCCCTCACCAGATCCCTCTCAGCTCTTTCATGGCTCTACATCTCCTCATCCCTCGCACAACGCCTTACAAACCTGCATAACGCTACGTCTGCAAAGCTCTTTCAGCACATTCCAACAATTCAAAACATCTTCAACACGTTTCCTCTTATTCGGGCTGCCTTTCCTGGCCGAGACGGCCAACGCCGAAGCGCAACTTGACCTTGACTCAACTCAATCTTCGAACGCACCGCTTTTTGTTTTTGTTCCCAACCCGCTTTCCCAGTTGAACCACTTGCCGCCCGCGCTCTCCGAAACGCTGTTTGTTACAACCCCAGAAGCTTAAAGAAAAAGGCCCAGCTTGCAACCGGAGATCGAGCTCCTTGGTCTTCTTTTGTGGTTGTTTCCGGGAACTCTGTTGACAGCAAGCAACGCAATCCAGGAGCGTGGAGCTGCCGCCCATTGCTCATCCCCCGTCGCTCTCCCTTTCCTCCCTGTTACGCCCGTCACGAAACACCGCCACTTTCGACGGCTTGGGACCAAGACTATTTGACTAAACAAGACCACCAAGCACCAAATAGAGAACGGAACCGAAATCCGCGGCATGAACACATGCCACCCAATCCATATAGCTCGCACACACATAGCTTGTTCTCCTTTTGACCTTTGCTCGTCGCCTCTCTTCTTTCCTTCTTTTTCAACCTTCAACACCTATTTTCCTGCTGCACCGCATTTCACCGAATTCATTTCACGGCCTCCATCTTCCGTCGACTAATGCGCCGGCAACATACAGCTACTTGAACGCCTCCAGCTTGCCTTTCGCCGGCCACTTACGAATCCACCACTACCTCAGTTCGTCAGCTGCTCATCCCAAATCACCATCGGTGCTGTTCACACCACCACCATTGTCGCGGGTGATACTTGACGCTTTTTTTCGCGCAATCGCTGGGACCTTAGAAGCATCCCTTTTTGTTTTTCTTTATCAGTGCCAATATTTCCCTGACCGCCGCTTCATAACGTTTACCACGAATCGACCGTTATTTAACGACGACGTTGAAGCTTGTGGACATTACTTATACGGACAACAACCGCCACTATCGTCACCGCCTTCTCCTCTCGTCTTATCGGAAAGCTACTCTCACAAGCAAGTAGCAGCAACACCACCTACAAGCTCGTCCCGCTGTTGGTGCCCGCAATTCATTCAATCATTCAATCATTACGAACGCCATAAGCGATACAATAGCTTTTGTTCTCTCAATCGTTTCCCATACGCCGACGGAGCTGCAAGCTTTCTAGAATTCTAGAAAAAGCTTGGTTTTTACGACGTGCGGTCAATTTAATCAATTGTCCCTGAACTTTGACATAAAAAAGACTCAATTTCCCCAGAGTCGTCATTGCATGGTGGGGTCAAGATGCCACCCAGATCCTCTCTCACTTCTTCCTTTTCTATCACCGACTCGAACAACGAAGTCGTCTGCCCCTTGAAGAATCAAGATGGCTCAAGTTGTCGCAAGCGATGTATTGGCGTAAGTCTTTCCAATTTCTTTTCGTCTCTTTGTTTTTGTACTTATTTCCGTCGCTTTCATAAGCTCTTTCTAATTTTATTTTCTCATTGAAGGAAAAGAGATATCGCTCCATGCAGGAGCATATCCGTCGCGCGCATCCCGAACACTACATTTCGAAGCTTCCGGCTACAGAAGAAAGCTTTCTGCTCATGATCAACACACCACCGAGCGAACGCCTGCCGAGTCAACAGAATGCGGGGCCCGCTCATGGCGGCATGTCAGGCAGTAGTCCCGGAAACTTCAATCCCGGCTTGAATGGCCCGCCAGTCCACAACTCCATGGGCCATGGGACCATCCACCAGAACCAGAACAAGCCGTACCTGCACGACATCAAGCATGGCGCCCCGGGCATCCCAAGAAGTACCGACGAATTCGTTGCCGGGTCTGCGCTGCCGGCCGCAAGTGCGGCCGCAGCTCTCGCGCAACTTCACAACCACAAACTTGATCGCGATTGGGACGAAGGGGTAAGTTTGTCAATGGGAGATGTAAGCCGTCTACCTTTTCTTTTGTCTGCAACGACCGCCTTCTGCATCGAGATTGGTACGCTAACACAGCTTCAGGGGTGGACGTCTGACACAGAAAAAGGCCGCTTGTCGCACTCGTCTATTGAGCTTCCCCCGATACATATGGCCAACCCTGATATCACCAGCGAGCCCTTTCCCGGTATGAACATGAATCGGCAGCGTGAGCTACTGCCCTCCATTCTGTCCGGTTCGCCGCCTGGTCGCTCGTCGACACTTCCTCCGCTGCAGCGTCCCCTGGGACCCTCGCGGCCAAGGAAGCAGTCCATCACCAAGCGGACGCGTGAGACCCACCATAAGAAGCAAAGATCTCGGGGCTCCGCATCAGACTGGCTGCGTCGTATTCAGAATGAGTCGGCCGTCGATAGGCTACGTCCCGGTGGGCCTCTGAAGGCAATGTCGGCTGAGCCATCTGATTTTGGGAAGCGGTGGGAAGACCTGATCGATGCTGCGGCTTCCGCAACCGAGGACATTGACGACGAGCGTACTCCCGTGCCGCAGTCGCCGATTTCCATCCACCGCGCTTCCTTGCCGCCTTTCCCACATCAGGCGTTCCAGCACCACCAGCAGGCCCAGGGTGGCTATCAAGCATCACCGCTGCAACAGGCGCTGACACCGCCGTCATACGCGCAAGAGATGCCCGAGCCATTCCCCTCTGTCGAGAGCAATGAGAGTGGCGATGTTTTCAACATGGAATCCCGTGGCCTGTCCGACTCATCTCCCAGCTACTCTTCGCAGAACCCGCAGATCTACTGTGCGGCGTGTGGCAACATCTCCCAGCTCCGGGAATCGTATGCGTGTACCGAATGCATATGTGGTCTCTGCCAGGCCTGTGTCGAGGTCTTGATGGGAGAGCAAGGCGCCAGCAGGAAATGCCCGCGCTGTCACACGATCGGTGGCCGCTTCAAGCCTTTCCAGCTGGATATCCGGTGATCCTCAGTCGTTCTTTTTGGATTCTTTCTTCCACCATTCTTTTCACTGCCCCCTCCTTTCCTTGACATTATTTCGTGCGTTGCCTTCTTTTTTCAGTTTTGGTATCACGGCATCTGCTTTTTATGCTTTTTATGTTTATACTTGCCTGCCACCCTGAATTGGCACAGTATACTGGCGCATCTACACACACTTGGGAATATCTCTGGGAGGGCCGATTCCCCACCTATTTGGTCATTTATAAAGAGGCGTTTGTTGTTTCCACGGGCTTTACAGTTCAAAGACGCTACCGGGATACAATGCACGGCATCTTTATCACGCGGCGGTCTTCATCGATTACGGGGTTGTTTGATTTTGACTTTCCTGGTATTTTGTCTTTTGTTTTCCTTTCGGATTCGACATCCTCGTTTGTCCTCGCTTCTGGATATTCTTCACTTCTTTTCATCCATGTACCTTCTGGTGGTAGATGCATGCAGACATTGGCTGCTTCTCCTTGGACGTTCTAGATGACCCTCTTTTTATCATCACTTCCCCCACGGCGTTACTATATCGGCTACGACATTTCAAAGGCGGACAAACTACACCTAGATGACAGCGATATTCATCGGGACCTACCACGATCGTTACCCACACCGGCACACACACGCACTGTTATGATTTTTGAATGATTTTTCTTTGCGAGACGGGCCACAAGAACGGTATAACACAGGAGTTGTTGAAGTTTTCCTTTTATGAGACCGAAGGGCATCATTGTCTTGATTATGATGGCTCTATTAATTTGGTCGGCAAGAGGGTCCCTATTTTTCTGATTTTCATTTTTCATGGTATGTCTTTATTTGCTTTTTCTTGATTATTGCTAACAGCTTGGGTCGGTGAGCAAGCCTCCACCAAAGAAAGACTCTCGCTATTCTTTGTTATATGTTTTATGTTTTTATGTTACACTTGACCTCGTTCTGGGTATTTAGGGAATTCGAGGGAGCGAAGAAAGTCTGCAGCTGTCCTCCTCCGTCGTACATATGTTTTATCGGCCCATTTTATGCGCGTCGTTTTTCTCGCTAGGGCTTACATAGTTTCGTTCTGCCGCAACGCTCCGTTCTGCAAGTAGTATTCTCTTATTTTCTTTATGTTACCACAACGTATGCATTACACTATCTTCAGTCTACAACGAGATATGTGAAATCTACGTACTGTGAAGAAACCATACACTCGTGAATACCTTAACAATGGCAGATTCAAGCTGAAATTACATACCCCGTTCCATATTATATTGTACAGCCACAGGCTATTCTCTAGTTGACGAAATAAAATTGATTCTTGGCCCACATGAAACGATGTCCCCAGAAAACATAAAGAGGTCAAACCCGACATCCAAGACCCAGTTTGCTGTGCCTGACCGATGTGCTGATATCAGAAAAAATCAAAAATAGTAAAGACGCCTTGAAATCAGTGGTAGTTAACAGGTTTTGTTTGTGTCGTGTTTACGGTGTGCGTCGGAGGGCAAGTTCCGTCCCTTTTGCGTATCGAGGGTATGTATGGTCGTGGCCAGTCGAGGCAGCACCGTGAAACACGACAAGACGGATTGCTCTTGAAACGGTCGAGGCCGTTGGTCTTCTTTCTCTTTTCATCCTCTCCCTGTTGTTTTGTTTCGTTGTATAGTCATATACCCAACCCTCACATTACTCCCCCCCCGAAAGTCTACCGCCCAAAGAAGCGACTCGCCATGCCGCTCGCAATCGACCCGGCCAGGTTCGTCGACGAAAACGCCGACCCGGCCAGGTTGGAGGCTTGGCTGAACTTGTCGCACCGCGAAAACGCTAGGGCGTTGGTCACGGTCAGCGCCAGCGCAATCGCCAGCAGCGGCAGCCACAGCACGCTGAAGCGGAAGAGGGCAAAGACGGCGAGGGCGGTCCACGACAGGGGCTGCGCGTAGAGGGCCAGCCAGAAGAAGCGGCTGTCGGTGGCGTTGGGGACGCGGTTGGACGCCGGGTCGCTGCTCTCAAAGACCCACTTGGAGTCGCCGGTCTCGGGGTTCACCTCGTTCCACCAGCGCAGGCCGACGAGGCGGCGGCCGGCAATGTTTTTGAGGTAGTAAAAGTCGGCGGCGAGGAGGAGGACGGTGATGATGAAAACGAGGACCCTGCAGAGAGGCGGTTGGGGTTAGTTTTCATGGCAGCAAGGAACACTGTCCACACACAAAAGGGAGGGAGGCACGCACTTATTCCCTGTAAAAAGCAAACCAAAGAGGTAGACGAGCAAGCTCCCTGGAGACGCCAGTATTGTTAGTAGCGAAAACTATGGGCAAGCATAGACCAGGTCGTTTTGCCAACGCACCAATGCGGAAGGCGAGGAAGGTGAGCAGCGTGATGGGGTGCGAGCTCAGGCGCCAGTGCAGCGCGCCCGGCTGCGGTGGCGCCTGCTGCTGGGGAGCGTCCATGTCGATGGTGCGGTCGGCGTGTGCCGTGTGTGTGGATGGACAAGGAGAGCCGGGTGCTGCTCGCGGGTGAAGCTGAGAGACGGAGACGAATATAGACGAATATCGCGAATCGATGTGCCAAAGTATGTTGGCGTCGAAGGAATCTGGGAGGTCGCCGAGTCGCAGTGTACTCAAAAGGAGGGCTTATCTTATCGTCGTACGGGACGGCGATTCGCTGTCGGTGGCGTCGTCGGTATTGTTGCCGTCAAGGCGCTGTCGCTAAATGGGAGGTTGTCGTGTCGTTTTTGTTCCGCATTTGGAGAAAAGGAGACAGACACGATACGATAAGGGCGATGCATACGTGTAGCTCGTCCCCACTTTTCCCTATGAGAGGTGCCTGCTGCTTATAGAGGAAGGCGGTGAGATATGGCAGAATGAAGCTCACCGTTATGAAGCCGTCTGTCATTAACGAGTAACTCAAAGTAATAAACGTAGGTGCAGCGAATAGCTTTCCAGTATTATGAAACTGTTACGAGGCATTCCCATCGTATTTAACATAGACAATGCAGAACTATAAAGGGCAGACTGGATTTGGTTGGAAATTATTACTTTTATGAGCAGCACGCCATCACGTGAACTGTTCTTATTAGTAGAAGTGTGGTGTGTTCGCTAGACGCTGAGGCAACTTACAGCGACCTCTCCACTGGCGTATCCTTGCAGGTCCACTACGTAACTGTTGCCGAACTGGTTTGCGGGGAGTGAGTACGGAAAGCATGTCGGCTATCAAGAAGCCGATATAAACTCGCCGTATGTCATTGAAGAACTGCTGAGCAACCGCATCTGTGTCTTCATTTTCGTTCCCGTATTTGACTCTGTGATTTTTCTACAGAGACTGTCTCTCGAAGCAACACTCATTTGACTTATTTCAGCCTAGCCGGCCACTCGATATTCAAAATGGCGGCTCCCGTCCTGCGACGGTCTCTTCTCTATGGTACGGTGTTGTCATTTGTTGTCGCGTTATAAACCGGCCATGTACGAGCCCGTTTACTCACCTTGGTTGCAGTCCCCGCATCGTCACCCAAGATGCTGGCCAAGTCCCTCACGCTCGCCTCGGACAACATCACCTACGACCTCGAAGACGCCGTCACCGAGACGGCCAAGCCCGCCGCCCGTGCCGCGCTCCGGGACCATTTAGAGGCACTGGCCCAGTCCAAGATCAAGACGCCGGCCAACACGGAGATTGCGGTGCGCATCAATGCCGTGTCGACCCAGCACGCGCTCGCCGACCTAACAGAGCTCGGCCCGCTGGCGCTCTCGGCCGTCGGCGCCATTGTGGTGCCCAAGACCAACGCGCCGTCCGACCTGGCGTTTGTCTCGGACGTTGTCAATCATATCCGGCGAAACCGGGGCGATGCGCCGCGCGCCACGGCGGCCGGCCCCAAACTGATTGCCCTGATCGAGTCGGCCCGCGCCATTATGGACCTGCGCGACATCTGCGCGGCCGGCACCGCCCCCACCGCGGGCCTCTCCCTGGACGGCCTCATTTTTGCTGCCGAGGACTTTGCCCTGGACCTGTCTCTGACGCGGTCGCCGTCGCTGTCCGAGTTCTTGTATGCGCGCAGTGCAGTGGTGACGGCGGCGCGGGCGTTTGGCCTCAACTCGGCGCTGGACCTCGTGTGCACGAGTTTCCGGGGCGACCAGGGCCTGTCGACACTGGCGGAGGAGTGCCGGGATGGACGGGGGCGGGGGTTCACAGGCAAGCAGTGCATCCACCCAACGCAGGTGAGCGTGGTGCAGCAGGTGTGGGGGCGCATGTACGACGAGGCGGATCGGACGGAGTTGGCGTGGGCGGTGCGGGTGCTGATTGCAGAGGACAAGTCGGCGGCGAGCGGGCGGGGTGCTTTTACGCTGGACGGGGCGATGATCGATGCGCCGGTGGTGGGCAAGGCGCAGCGGCTGTTGGACCAGGCAGAGCGGTCGGGCGCCGGCGAGTTCATCCAGTCATTGCGCGAGAAGCACAAGGATCAGGAGCCGGAGTAGATGGTTCGCTCTTGAATTGGTGTGTTCATGTATATATTGTTCTGCTTTCCAAAAGCCATACGTCAAAAACAGATAAATGTATTCTGTAAAATTCAATTTTATGGCGATCCATGAATCTGGCTTTGCCATAGATCATTCCGCGTATCCAAAATGTTCAAAATGCAAAAGCACGACCAATACAACAAAATGCTTGCGCTGCTCTACCCAAAGAACAGTGAACGAGGGTGTATCTTGATAAACGAAACGAAAACGAAGAAGCTCGAACAAACCACCCCAGTAAGAATATAAAAGTATCAATAGATGAATGCCAACGCCAAGAAAGCCTCAGTTGAGCTTGTGGGGTTAATCTGACAATCGAAGGAGGAAGGAGGAAAATAACAAATAATAATAGATGGCTGTTTCATTAAAATATGCGTCAAAGATTCTTCGCCTCACGCACAACGATCTCTTCCCGTCTTCCCTTTTTGTGTTTTTTACCGACTTGACGCAGCCGCCCGGTTGCGGATAGCGTTCTCGATATCCGCGTCGAGCTCGCGTTCTTCCGCCTCGAGGCGGGCCACATCCTCGGGCGTCATGTGGTCCTCAATCAGAGCTGCCACTTGGCCACGCAACGCAGGCTGTGCAGCCGTTGCCGAGCTTGTACCTGCATCTGCACCTGCACCCGCCCCTGCACCGACTGGCGCGACCGGTGTTACTGGTTGTGCAGACGCAGCCACAGGAGATACGGCTGGCGTGGCGTTTTGCGCTGCCCGTACGGTCGGTGATGCTGCAGCGGACGCGCCTGCGGACGACGACGTTGGGACAGGCCGGGTGGGAATGATCTGCGGTGTGCTGTTGTCGTCGTCGGTATACGGGCTGTGCGGGCTGTTGGGTGTATCGGGCCCAGCAAAGCGGCCAGCCACGCCAGCTGCTCCAACACCAGCAGCACCGGCCACGACTGCGTCCTTCTCCATCAGGTTGATGGCCGTGCCCGAGCCCATACCGTCGTGCATCGTGGTGGGATGCATATTGGGGCCAGGGCCGCCGAGATCCGGGCCAGGACCAGCGCCGCGGTAAGGCTCGACGGAGCCGGAGAGAAGAGCCGAGTTGTACGCCTGGTTGGCGGCGCGGTTGCGGTTACGGCTGTGGCGGCGCAGGAAGAAGAAGACGAGGGCGGCAATAATGGCAATGGCAGCGACAGCGCCCACAACAATACCGGCAATGGCACCCTTGCTTATGCCGGAGCCGGTGCTGGTGCTGCCACCGCCGAGAGTGGGTCCGCTCATCGAGCCATTGCCATTCGTGGCCGTAGGTTGGGATGTCGTGGAAGTAACCGTCTTGGCAACGGCTGCTGTCTGCGAGCCTCCAATGCGCGACTCGACAAAGATGGGGTTGGTGTTGGTGTAGTAGGGCAGGACAGTGCTGATGATGGCCGTGGAGCTGACATAAGTAAAGGTGCGGCTAAAGGACGAGCCTTCGACGCCGCCCTCCTGGGTCCAAGTGATTTCGAAAAACAAAGGTGAGCCATCAAGATGGTTGTCAAAGAGCGTGCCCGAGTCGACAAGCGTGACCGTGCCCGTCTGGGTTCCGGTGCCGGTGGGTTGGACACTCACTGTTTTGTTAGAGCTTTTTGTATAGAGAAAAAAGAAAAATAAACAGAAACGAAAGAGAGAGGGAGAGGAAGAGTAAGAAACCTACACGTAATGACAACGGTCTCCCCACCAATGCCTTGACCTTCGGCTCCGTTAGGGGATGCCGTGGCGACGGTGCCTTTCACAGTATCCCGCAGCTTGGCGCCGGTCACATTGTAGGCAGTCGAGGCCACAGTGAAGGTAAACGTTTTGCTGGGCTGGGCGCTGTTGGCAATAAAGACGGCGTCGTTGGGCTGTGAGGGGTCGTAGTCGTAAAAGTCGCCGGGGGTGAATACGATGACGGAGTTTGCGGGAGTGCCGCCGGAACCAGAACCGCCAGAACCAGAACCGCCGTTGCCGCCCGAAAATCCGGTACCGCCGTTGCCGTTGCCATCAGGTGCGGCGGTGGTTGCTGCTGGTGCCGGATGGGCATCAAAAACGCCAGAGGTTGACGTCGTAGCGCCGGCCGCGGTGGCAGCGAAACCGAGTGCAGCGGTGATGGCCGTGGACAGGGAGATGTCGCCGAAGAGCCGGCTGCGGACGGACCGCATGATGGGCGAGGGTTTTGTAGGACGAGGGACGAGACACGAGGGACGAGGGTCGCGAGGTCAAGGATGTCGATGTCGTCGAGTATCACGGAGAGCCGCCAAAAGAGGGAGAGGAGAGAGCCAGGAGAAGAAACAATCAGCGGAAAGAGTGCAATGACGCTGGCACTCTGCTCAATGTTTTTGTTTGCCCAGCTCTCCAGTCGACAAGGCTGCAGGGAGAGGCGAACAAAACAAAAGACGTCCGCAAAAGGGAGAGGAGACGAAGGAAGCCAAAAAGAGCCTCAATGCTAGTGAGAGGCAGGAAAAGACAACAGAAACGAAAACGGCCAGGGCAAAGAGCAGCCTGGGGGAAGGAACGAAACAGACCAGACAGAGAAAAACAGGGGCAAAAACAGAAGGAGCCACTGAAGGATCGGGCACCATAGAAGGAAAGAGGTGAGAACAGCGCAAACAAAGCCAAACAAAGCCAAACAGAGAAAGACACAGGGGCAGGAAGTCAGAAAGAAGGCAAGGAAGGGAAAGGATTGCGAGCTGCAGAGTGGGTCGACGCCAGATCAAGTCGGTAAGGCTGTGCGCAAGGGTTCCTTTTTCTCGACGGAGGTATTTCTCTTTGCTCGGATTCCTCGTCTTTCGGCTCTGGACTGACTGGGGCTTTGTCTTTGGCTGGGGGCTGGCCTTGGTTGGAAGGAACGGGGGATGGGGGATGGGGGACCAGGGTACGCCAAAAGAGGAAAGAGTGGAAGGGAAGCCGCAGTGTAAGTAATACGTCGTACTTCGTACAGTCAGAAAGTGCAGTACACAGTAGTGCTGTGCAACGATGGGGCAGAGCAAGTGTGGCGCCGGTCGTTCTTTCTGAATTAAGATGCAGCTGAGAAAATAAACTGTCCGCGTCCTTTCCCGTTTGGGGCCCAACGAAGGGCCACGTTCCTTCCCAAAACTACAAGACACGATACGGCACGGTGATGTTGTGCGTTACAAGGAAAGAGCAAAGGGCGAGCCTATCGGCCGTCTAGAAGCGGGTTTTGACGGCGCCAAGACAAAGACCATCGAACGCGGATGAAAGCAGTGCAAAGTTGACAACGACAAAGGGGGCGAAGAACAAAGGCGAACAACGCGACACAGCCAACTCCAGAGCCTCCAATTCCAGCGCGGTCAGCCCTGCGGTCCAGAGTTGCAATAAGCTTCATGTCGTTGGCAAATAGGGGGTGGGTGACGGTGGGGCGCGGCCGCACGTTTCTTGGTCGTTTTTCAGTGACAAAAAGAGGAGACAAGCAGACAAGCGAACTGAGGACAGAAAGGAAAGGTGCAACTAAACCTCTGGACCAACCGGAAAAGAATGGTCGGTCTCCTCGTTGAGGCTAGTCTCTTTAGTTAGACACAGCCCTGCGCCTCGACAAAGGCCGACCCCAACGACTGCAAGTATGCTGGCCGTCTGCGGCGATCCAAAGGCGGAGTGGAGAGGGATGTGATGATCTCTGCGTGGTCTTTTGTTTCCGTTTGTTTTGCAAAACGATACATTTCTGCTGGGACGATTGTGCGCAGTCCCGGGACGCAATTGTATTGCAAAACGAGACAGAGACGGCGAACCGGTGGGGCCACCGTAAGTTAGCCGCATCTCAATTTAAAGTGCGAAATAGTGTCGAAGCCAAGACTTTTTGTATTGGTTGACCCTGAAAAAACGCCTGGCCTAGGGTCTTAGTATCGGACACTAGCCGTAAGGTTTGTCGGGCGAAGAGGCAACGCCCACCTGAGAACATGAAAGGCTCGACAGGATCATAATAACAGCGCACTGTAACGGTTGTTGGGGGGGTTGTGTGGGCAGCAATATGATGTATCTACAGCACAAAATGTGCAGAGGCATTACGTCGTATTTGTGTGGCTGCTGCTCCGTACTGTCGTGGTGCTGTTTTTCTGCAGGACTTTTGTGCATGCAGCCGTTTGTCCAATACATTCAAAGGTGGCAGAAGTGACAAAGTGCGGAGTAATTACGCCGTACAAAAAAAATGGGAGAAATATTAGGTGTACCGCATAGCGAGGCGCAGTGCAGTGCGGCTGTCTCAAGGTCGGTTGAGTCGAGTCCAGTCCAGTCGAGTCGAGTCGAGTCCATGTCGATAGATGCACAGGAGAGATTCTGGAGAGCAGCTTCATAGCTGCACTGCTGGCGTGTATTTTATGCCGATGACAGACGACCTGTCGACGGCTGTTTTGGCAATTTTTGACATCTCAAGGCGGCTCTCCGTTTTCACGTCGACGTCTATATTTGTGATCCTGTACCCACCTATCACCACTTGTCCCGCCTTGCCCATTGTTCTTCTGTCCTTGCGGTTCTATGGCCCGAGAGTCACTTGGTGCGACCAGCGTGGCTCAAGTGTCTTGTTGTCGTCGTGGCTGAGACGACGGTGAGATCTCCCAGAACTTGCTTTGGCCGACCAGGGTACCGCCACCTGTCGGCGCTGTAACGCGTAATTACTTCGTACAACGAATGTATTGAAATGCCGTTCATATGTACCATTTGGTATACATTATACGGAGAGGTACACATTGAGGACCAACGGTGTAAGACCGCTAGACAAAATGTCCCATAAATACTCTATATTCTCTTTACCACTAGACCGATCGTTTGGTGAGACACTGGAGATACCTGTCAGAAAGCTGACGACCAAATTTGCTTGACATGATAAAGAGGAAGTCGTACTATAAATACGTCTATTGACCCATGGCGAGCGAGCATGCGTCTGTAAAGAGCCGTAAGCCTGCGTAATTGTCTCCACGAATATGTCGTACAATTCTCCACAACTGACACCAACCTCTCTTTTGACCCTCTGTTGGTACACCATACTTGGCCCTTTCATTTGTGAACTTGGGAAGGGTATGACATTATATGTATAATGCGTGTCTGGTCTGTATGACGAATGGAAATATGTAGTAGTGGCGCATAAAACAAACACAAAATAACACCCGGTTAAAAATATCACTCCTGCTATGCAAATGTCATGGAAACCTCCTGCTCCTTGCCAAAATTGTCGTCGTCGTCGTCGTCGGCACCCTGACTCCACGGATCCGTCAGAGTGATGGCCGGCACCGATGGCGACGTCGCGGCAACCGCAGCGCCCGCTGCAGCGCCAGCGGCCGCACCAACGGCAAGCCCACCCGACGACGGCTCGGCGGCCCTAGCCGGTGGTGACGGCGTGTTCTTGTACGCTGGGTCCTTGGGCGGTGGTGGTGGCGGCGGGCCGGCTGGTGAGAACGGCGTCGGCGGTGTGAGAGGCGATGCCGAGGCGCCCGTCGTGCCCGTGCCACCCGTGGCACTCGCCGACCGCGGCGGTGCCGGCTCGTCGTCGTAGGCATAGTCGAACGTCATGGAGATGCCGTCGTTGCCGTGGTCCACAACGTGCGGGGACACAGCCCCGGTCCGACTATACGGGTTGTACGAGCTGTACGAGGGCGACGCCGCCGCCGCCGCCGCTTCGTCGCGTGGCGGCAGCGACATTTGCCGGCCCAGCGCTGTCGGCGTCCGCTCGTCCGAGTGGCGGTACTCGGCCGAGGTCGGCGTCGTGGACGAGCGGCGCGACGAGGACGACGACTCGCGGAAATCGTGCGAGGCGCGGTAGGCGACCGCCGTGTCCGTAACGCGGCGGTTGTTGCTTTGCAAGTGAGGCGCATTCTTGGCGAGCCCCTTGGGCGTCGTGGCAGGCGCTGGTGGCGTGAGCGCAGGGCTCGGCGCCGGCGAGTAGTCGAGCTTCATGGGCGGCAGCGTCGACTCGAGCTCACGCACCTGCAGCTGCTCCAACTGCAGATCCACGTCGCCGCCGCTGTGCTCTTTGGCCAGCTCCGCCCGGATCGCGTCCACGTCAAACAGAATGCCGTGGTTGTTGCCCTCGGCGTCCTCGGTCCTGCCGCCCACGGCCGCAAGGGAGGCCGCCGCACCCGCACCGGCGCCCGTGGCGCGGTGCTTGGCCAGGTCCTCGTAAATCTCCCACTCTTGTTTCTCGCCCTTCTTCTTGCGGCTAAAGAAACTGAACGCGCCGCCCTTCTTGGAGGCTTTGCCCTCTTTCTCGAGCTCCTTGCGCGCCTCCTCGATCTCGTTGATCAGCTCGCGCTGCCGCTCGCCGTGGTTGTCCGGGTCCGGATCTTCAATCTCCGTAAACTCGTCGCTCTCCACAAGCCAGCCGCACTCGCGCAGCAGCCGCGGCATCGCCGTGCGGTAGTCCATGTGGCCCACCACAAAATCGGTCACGTCCATGTTCTCCATGCCCGGGATGTCCTCGACCGCGTTCAGGCCGCCCACGCGCCGGATGCCGCCGTTGGTCAGGCGGAACAGGTACCCCAGGATCCAGTCGTTGCGGTTGTAGCCATTGACGAGGCGGCCCGCCACGACCGAGCGGGCGCGCATGTACTCGTCCCGCTTGACGACCACGGGCGAGCCGAACATGAAGACGTTCTGCACCAGTCCGTACGCGCCCTTGCGCGCCAGCTCCTGCAGACACGAAAAGATGACGCGCGAGCCCAGCGAGTAGCCCACGAGCGTGATCGGCCGCGTACCCAGGTTGCGGTCGATCAGCGAGTCGGCCAGAATCAGGCCGGCCATGGTGGCACGGTCCAGCGACACGGCCCAGGGGTTGTCGATGAGGTACGACAGCTTGGTCAAGACCACAGGCAGCTGCAGCGCGGCCATCAGCGACACGAGAATGGTGCTGCCGAGCAGCTGCTGCAGGCCTTGCGTCAGGGCCTCGGTGGCCAAAATGTTGATCGTGTCACCCATGCTTGTCAGCATCTCGGGCTCCCACAGCACCGAGTAAATGTCGCCCATGACCGGGTCAATGGTGCTGTACGGCAGCCGCACGTCGTCGACTTTTCCCGTCATCCAGCCGGACACCGTCACAATCAGGTTGACCCGCTTGTTGTTGTGCAGCGGCCGGTACTCAAACGTCTTGACGGCGCCCGTGCGCCGGTTCGCAGCGCGCACGCCAATGACACTGCCGGACGCAGCCGCGGATGACGTG